AGTGGATCAAGTTACAAGATAGGAGAACCCTGACCTTGGAAGGACATGACCTTATAGAAGGATGGCACTCCCACCTTTGGGATATAAAGAACAAGAAAAAATCCTATTTCCATAAACATAAAATTAGGGAGACCCTTATTCACACGTGGGTCGAAATTAGACAGAAGATCTATACGAAAGTACCCAACTGGCTTTCCATCATGGAAGCGTTGGCGGCACCAAACAGGAGAGATGAGTACAAATGGGGTACATACAAGGATATCCTCGATGAAGAAGGGAAACTTAAATCATTGGATTTATTGAGAGATCAGGGCCTAAACTTGGATTGGTGGAACTATTTTCAGATCAATTCAAGATTCCAAAAAGACAGAGACAAATTTGGTATAGTAGCGAAATTTGGGAACTTTGACAAAATTATTTGGGGAACAGATAAGAAAATGTTATCGAAAATCTATAACTTTCTATTAGATGAAGATAGGGCAGAGTCCATAGCAAGAAATCAACTGAACATCTGGGAAAAAAATCTAGGACATAGACTAAATTTTAATGATTGGGAGATAGCTTGGAATAGAAACTACAAAATAACTAAATCGACAACGTTTAGGGAAAATCATTACAAATTGTTACACAGGTGGTATCTAGCCCCAGCGAGGCTAGCCAAGATGTTTCCAAATCTCTCTCCCACATGTTGGAAATGTGGAAAAACAGTCGGCACCTTCTACCACCTATGGTGGACCTGCCCTGAGACTAAAAAGTTCTGGTCCAAAATCCGACACTGGCTCTGTGAAATAATGGGACAGGAGGTAGACCTAGCCCCAGAGCTTTTTCTCCTAGGCATAACCGAAGAAGGCTTTAATAACAACAAAACCCAACTGATAATCCAGATTATAACTGCGGCTAGATTAGCTTTCGCAAAATGCTGGAAAAACAAACTTATGCCCTCAGAAGAAACTCTAATAAATAAGATCCTAGAGTGCGCAGAAATGGCGAAACTGACAAGTGAGTTAAAAAAGGAGGACAACTCAAAATATTATGACGTATGGGGTATTTGGTATCACTGGTTGAACAATAAGACGAAAACATGACTATAGAATTTGACTTGGCACATGTATTATAGTTGTATTGTATAAAATAATGTATAGTTAAGGATGAAGTCTTTTTTTAACTTTTGTTTCACTATATTGTATAAACTCTGCACCTCCGAAAGGAGAGATAGATTGTATATTTTCTTTTTTTTGTTTTAGAAAACTCAATAAAGTATTTAAAAAAAAAAAAGAAAAGAAAATGATCCATGATATGACAAGGGAAGCAAAAATAAACTCGCTCATGTGAAAAAAAAATATAAAGAACAAAGAGTATGTGGATTCATTTTAAGTTCTGGCAGAGGTACAGGAAAATTTCTTTTGGCATATTCATCATCCTACCGACAGTAGGATGAGACCAGGCCATAATTTTCTCATGCATTTTTTCCCTATCCCTTCTCTTTCATCTCATTGAAAAAAATAATTGCTTTCAAATTCAAGTCTTTCAAATTTGACAACCTAGCAAAACCTGAGATGCTCCTTCCTTCACAAGCCAGGATCACAAATGAGATTTAGCTGTTGTCTTGAATGTTGCCATGCTGGATTAACCCAAAATTCAAAAGAAGATCCTATAAATTTTTAAAATCCTGTTTGCAAACAGACTGCATTGGCGAGCACATAGCTAGCTGATTGGTGGTAAAACTAGCTGAGTTCATAAACATGCTCAACCAGGTTAATGAAAGAGAACTGCTATGATGGCCTAATGTGCCATGTCAAAATATATACCGGTAATCCAAATGTTGGTTTAGCATGATGACCTGCTTCCCACATTGACAAAGGGGAATGTTCCCACCTCCCAGAATGTGTGAAATGGGGTAAACTTGTTTTAAAATCTCAGTCAATATTTTCAGGGGATTCATGGCCGACCCAAGGATGAGACCCCTGCTCCTTAGAGGGTCTTTTGGAAGGAGAAAGGAGCCACTTTCAAACTGGATCCCTCTGAAGCCCAACTCCTTTGCACCCCCATAAAAGATTCAAGACCACCAGTGAGCAGTGCCAGATGCAGCCAGCTTCTGAACCCACTAGAGAAATGCTGAAAAAAGCCTGGATGCCCTTAACATCAGCTGTCAGTTGATGAGTCCACACAGCCCAGGAAAGAGGATTCCTAGTCCAATCCAGTTTAAGGAGACCACTCACTTCCATGATGGTTAATGGAGTTTGGCTCACTCAACTCAGTTCTGCAGGGCACCCAGAAGCATCAACCACCTTGGGGTATTCCCCCTTGCAGGGGTTCTACAGGGGTCCTACAAAGGGGACTGAGGGGGTCCCACTAGTGCTGGCCTTGGCTGAGGATGGCCAAGCCCAATCCCGATTCCCCCAAGAGGCATTGAAATCATACAATGTAAGCTGTGAAAGGAGCTTCGTGATCATCTAGTCCACCCTCCTGCCCAGTGCAGGAATCCCCTGCCACAAATCACAAAATGGAAGCTATGGAAAGGACCATTGTGACATCAGTGCCATGAGCAAGGAAAGCCCCTCCTACCCCCATGAAACATTAAATACAACACTTAGTGATAGTCATGGATACTAAATAAGCAATCAACATAAATCATACTAGGATACTAAGTAAACAATGTAAATTGTAAGATACAATTAGCTAAGTTATCATCATAAGAAGATAAGGAGATAGGGAATAGGGAAGGTGAGAATAATGATGGTAATACTGCCTTTCTAGATAGTTTGACGGTGTTGAGGGAATTATTTGTTTAGCAGAGTGATGGCGTTCGGGGAAAAACTTTTCTTGTGTCTAGTTGTTCTGGCGTGCAGTGCTCTATAGCGTCGTTTTGAGGGTAGGAGTTGAAACCATTTATGTCCAGGATGTGAAGGGTCTGTAGATATTTTCACAGCCCTCTTTTTGACTCGTGCAGTATACAGGTCCTCCATGGAAGGCAGGTTGGTAGCCAGTTTTTTCTGCAGTTCTAATTATCCTCTGAAATTGTGTCTGTCTTGTTGGGTTGCAGAACCAAACTAGACAGTTATAGAGGTGCAGATGACAGACTCAAAAATTCCTTTGTAGAACTGTATCCACAGCTCCTTGGGCAGTTTGAGCTTTCTGAGTTGGTGTAGAAAGAACATTCATTCTTGTGCTTTTTAGATGATATATTTGATGTTAGGTATCCATTTTAAGTCTTGAGACATTATAGAACCTAGAAACTTGAAGGTGTCTACTGTTGCTACTGTGTTGTGTAGTATTGTGAGTGGTGGTAGTATAGGAGGGCTTCTCCTAAAATCTACTCTCATTTGTAGTGTTAAGTGTGTTCAGTTCAAAACTGTTCCAGCTGCACAAGGCTAGTTGTTCAACCTCCCATTTGCAAATTCGTCGTTGTCTTGAATGAGACCAATCACTGCTGTATCATCTCCAAACTTCAGTATTTTAACAGAGGGATCCTTTGAGATGCAGTCATTGGTATAGAGAGCACACAGCCCTGGGGAAGGGCTATGCCAATTGTACAGGTATCTGATGTCTGCCTAGCTTCACCTGCTGTTTCCTGTCTGTTACAAAGTTTATGAGCCACTTACAAGTGTGGTCAGGCACAGTTAACTGATTTAGTTTGGCTAGACGCCAAGCTGAAGTCTACAAAAAGGACCCTTGCATAAGTCATTGGAGATTCAAGTTGTGGTAGGATGTAGTGCAGAGCCATATTGACAGCATCATCTGCCGAGGTCCAAGAACGCGATGGACAGAGAAAAGGCAGGAGCAGAGAAAGTCAGCCAGACTACAGGTAGTCCTCAACTTGTTCATTTAGTGACCATTCCAAGTTACAAAAGTAATGTCTTAAAATGGGGCAAAATTCACTTAAATGTCTCACTTAACAGAAATTTTGGCCTCAATTGTGGTGACAAGTCAAGGACTACCTGTACTCCTCTCCCCTTGATGGGCTACATCAGAAGAGGCTATTTATCTCATCAGACAGACGGAGGCGTTGCTGGGAATGTCTTTGTTTTCTATGTGTTTTCTGCTCGATTCCTGCCTCACTCTGGACTGACACCGTGTTTGGAGTTGAATTGTGCCTTGGAAACTCTGGACTTTTCTTCCCTCGTGAGCGCTCTCTCGTGTGTGGATTTAGAATGGCCTGGTGGAGTTATGTTTGAGAAGCTTTCAAGTGCTTTATGGACTCTGGCCATTGTTCTGTGGACTAACCTCGGTCTGCTCCTGGCTCGGCTTAATTGGGACAGTTCTGGGTTTTGGTGAAGGGAATTGCTGGGGAATATTAATAAACTCACTAAACCACAGTTATGATGTGAGTGAGCGGGGCAGCACAAGGTGCTGGACTTGGGAAAGGCCCCTTGTTTCCACTCCCCATAAAGTTGTGCCACGCCCACTCAAGCTGCAAAATCCCAGAAACGTAATTTGGGCAAAGCCCCGGGTTAGCAACAGGCAGGCCAGAAAAGGGAGTTCAATAAAATCTGGGCCGGGTTGTACCAGCCACGATACCGCAAATTCCCTTTTTCTCCTGCCAGAACAAACTATTTCTCGCGAAAAGCCAGGCCTGTGGGATCTGTCACCAACTGATGCCCCTGAGCAAATGGGTTCGGTTCCTGCTCAGAGGCTTCAGCTGCAGAAGCAAATGGGGAGAGCAGAATACCCTGCCCCTCCCCCCACCCCACCAGCCACATACAATACTTTGCCCAAAGCAGCAACAGTCTTGATAGAAACTGGGTCAGAGGAGAAAAAAAAAAGGTTACAAATATGTGAATCCAAATAAATTCCAAGTCTCTGGATAGAAAAAGTGTGCATTTCTAGTCAAGGTTTCTCTCTCTCTCTCTCTCTCTCTTTTTTCCCCCTTTGTTTTGCAAGATTCAGTTTCAGATACAAAAAGCAAAAGCAGCTTAATGTGAAGGAGGATCCTTTTCCCCACTAAAATTGCTTGGTGCGCTTTTCACATGCTGACTTGCAACCCTTTGATGTCACAACAATTACAATCAAATACATTCACTTTATTCCATCCTTGGTCCAAACAGAAAAGCTGAGCTCCTGGGCTAAACGAAGAGGCGTCCTCCTCAGCTGCTGAAGTCCAGGGGAACTCTGGGTGTTTTTGGGGGTGGGGAGGGCAACAGGTGAAAGCCAACAGCCTCCCTCCCAACGACAACTGGAAACCAGAGAAGTGAGCTGACCAGAAAAACAAAAGGAGGCTCGTGTCTTGTCAATGCCGAGGTATCCCCCAAACGGGGGTTCCAATTTGGCTACTTAAAAGTCCACGGGGGACTGCCTAGATCCAATGAAGTAGAGCAGGTGGATCACTTCCTGAGATCCATGGAGATGGCATTAGCCGTTGTCTGTCCAAAGATGAAAGTGCCAAGGACAACCATGAATATCCCATAGCCGACCACCATCCACCAGCTGAGGTGAGGAGACAAAAACACAGTCAGGCCAGCGAGGAGAAGAGCAGGGAGGGGATGATGGGTCAAGGCCAAGCCTCTTACCTTACTCCTCCAGCCCCCTGAACTTCAGAAAGCTTGGTGTGGATGAGACAGAGGCCTGGCAAGGGAAAAAACAGAGCAGCAGAATTTGGCAGCCTATCAACGGTCTCCCAGTGGCCACAGAGATGGAGTCCACTGGATCCCCGTGAGAATGAGTTGAGAGGAAGCCCTTTTCCATTTGTGCTCCATGACCTCCTGCTACACAGGGTGAGCCTCTTAGCCAGGCAGGCGTCCACTTCCTTCAGGAGTCAGCCCTGGGCAGGGCAGGGCAGGGCAGGACTGGCCGGCTGCCATGCAGCCATCAGAGGGCCAGATGGGGAAGCCAATCCCGTCCCCAGAGTGGCAGAAAACCCCCTGCCTGTCCTCTGCCAGGCTCTTCCTCTCCCTCCCGGCCTCTTCTGCTCCAGGGAACCTGAGGTGCCTCTTCAGGGGCAGCCGTGGCTGCCTTTCTCGCCAATTCTGTCCCCAAAGCCAGGGTTGAGTTGAACGGGCTGCAGCCTGGACCAGCAGGCCATCCAAGCCCTGGCACGGAGAAGACTGCCGTCCTGCAGTGGAGAACCCAAAGATGACCTGCCTTCCTCCCACCAGCCAGGAAACCTTTTCCTTACCTGGAAAGACAAAGATGAAGCAGGCGGCCAGCCCCCCGATGACCGAGATGACTCTGCCAATGTCCGGAATGAACAAGGCCAGGAGGAGGGTGAGAAGGAACCAGCAGAAGGTTTGCAAGAGGCGTCGGCGTCTCTCCCGAGTCACGTCTTCGTCCATGCTTTCCCCTTTGTAGCGCAACCAGAGACCTTCCAGGACAGCTCTAGGAGGAAGACCTCGGAAGGGTCAGCAGACGCCCATTCCCACATCCCCCAGCCAGCCGGCTGGCCTGCTCACCTGCCACAGAAGTGTAAGATTGGGTAAGAAGTCAGGACAGAGAGAATGATGAAGGCCCGCGCGAAGGCAACTGGGATGTCATCCGAGGGGTAGGAGAGCAGCACGTCCTGCTGCACACTCTCACCGAAGGTCAGGAAGCCACAGACCCCTAGCAGAGACAGAGGAAGGCTGTGGCAACACCAGGCACAGCTTCTGCCAGGGCTCCGGCCAAAGCAGAAGCAACTGGACAGAGCGAGCAGCTGGGCTTGAGGATCCGCTCCCTACCTGTGCCCATGTAGACAAAGAGGGCGATGACCATGGCTGCTGTCACGACGACTCCCCAGGACCTTACCTGTGGGCACTTCATGCTGTTGAAGATGGGCACGCTGCTGACGTGGCACTACAAAAGGGGAGGGAAAGGCTCAGTGGCTGTCCTGAATTGGGGGGGGGGGGCAGCAAAGCTGCTTTGGGGCAACAGGGGCCAGGCCCCCATCCCCAACCTGAAGTCTGCTGCACCAGGTCCCCAAGTCCTTCATCCATTTAGGCAGGCATTATGGTAACTGAAGATGTCCAATGCAGATGGACATCCATTTCGGTTCTGCTTTGGAAAAACCTAAATTCACAACTAGGAATCCAAGATTCCTGGGAAAAACATCCTCCTTAACCAAATGATGGGGTAGTTACTAGCTACATTTCATTCCAGTAGCCGAGAATAATTTTAACTGCCATCACCCTTTTTAACTTAGCCTGGCAGCTATTCCTTGCCAATATCAAATATGAATCTCCTCCAAATTTCATTGCAGCCTTTTCCAGTCGCTGGAGAACTTTCTCAGTGGGAAACCCAATGCTGTCGCTTGGGCTGTTCTTCCTCCAAATCTGCCAAGTGAAACCCTAGAAGCCCAAAGCTGACCTAGGAGCTCCTCCCTGACTTTTAGGCAAGTTCAGGCAGACACACTCGGGAAGCGTAACAGGGAGTATCCCCCGAGAATCCTGTTGTCCCCGGAACCTCCCCCCCCCCCTTTGAGCTTCACAGGGGAACGCAGGCACCAAAGCCAGAGGGGGCTTCTCAAGGGAAGGCTCTGCTGCTTCCTGACATGGGCTGGGCTGGTGGGATGTGTGCCCAGAGAAGTGCCATGATCATGTCTGATATGGCAGAGGGTTTCCCCCAGCTGCAGATCTCTAGAGTTTAGATCCTGGTACGGAGCAGCTGCTTTCCATCCCCTTCCAGGTGCAGAAGCAACCTGGAAGAAGGAATCTCAAGGTGGGGGCGACCCTTGAAGGCTCCCCTTCCCTTCAAGTGCCTGATCCGTCTTGCGTTGCCTCCCAGGCAGGAACCTGCCCCAGCACCATTTTACTTGCTCCACAATGCCCAGCAAGGTGGCGATCATCTGAATTGCTCCGAGACTGGCACAGCTAATTTGGCCGCATGCTTTCTATGTCTATGACCACCTGACCCACCTGGCTTCCTTTACAGGGCTGGACACTGTACGGAGAGGTACCTGGACTGCCTCCCCAGGACAGCTGTACAATGGGAGACTGTTGTTCGAGATGTAAGCCAACCAAAGGTCTTGGGGGGGGGGGAGAGGCTTGTGGGGAGACTTAAACACCCGCATCCAAAGTCCACCCTCTCATGAGCAGGGTGAGCATGAGCATCCTCATACTCACCCTGAGGATGGGCAGACTGTACTGGAGATCCTGCACATGGCCACTTTACAAGCCCTTTTTGTCAGGAGAGCAGCTCTTCTCTGCCACAGGTGGCCTTTGCCTTTTTCCCCAGGCTGCCACTCTGAATCCTTCCTTCCCAGAGAAAACCCACAGAAGGGCAGAGGCCTGCAGGCCACCCTGCACCCCCTCAGGATCTCCAGCTGCCCTTTCATTTCAGACGCAACCAGATTGGTTTTCATCACTGCTCAGCTCACATGGGAGCCACCACCCAAGAAGAACCCCTCTTCCTCCGTAAGCCATAAAACATCCCTCCCAGGCAGAAGTCTCTCCATAAGAATGGCCATTTCCTCCTTGCCATTTCCTCGCCATGCTCAGCTGGGAACCTTCTCTGACACAAAATGGCCCTTTTGACTCTCCCATCACTCACTTCTGGCCCTTTGGAAAACCACTGATCCAAAAAGCTTTAAAAGTGGTGCTGTAGCTGCAAAAGACACTTGTTCAGCTGTTATACTCGGCACGTCACACCACTAATTTGCAATCTTGGGAACGAAAAAAATCCAATCCAATTTGGAGGACAACTGAAAAGCCACTCCAGTTATCTATGCGCCCGACCAACCCGGAACCCATTTCAGACAGCCTCTGTTTGATACACAGGAAAGACACATCAGAGCTACAAGGTGCCTCAAGACCCTGAGTAGCAGACCCTCATGAAGACAGGGATTCCTTCAAACCACCCGCAAGAGCTTTGGGGGGGGGGGAGAGGAGAGGGCAGCTCAGTAATTGAAAGGGCCTAAGCTACCCCATCTACAGCTCTCAAGGATGGAAAATGTTTCTGCCCTGTGGGGGCACCAACTGCTCCCTCAGCAAAGTCTCTCTTGGCAAAGCACCGGGCAGACAGCAGAGCTGCTTGAACATTACCTGGAAACCAAAGCAAATGGTGGGCATGGCATTGAAGACAGACACCCAGGAAGAAGGGCTGCGGGGAGGAAGAGGAGCTGCATTAGCTACGGCTGGATCCTTCCCCTCACAAGCACCTCATCAGAAGGGAGTGCAGAAGATGTCCCAGCCAAGCCCCCCCCCCCCCCCCCCCCCCCAAAAACTGTGGTTCTCCTCTGCTCTTACAGGGATGAAAGGATCTGCCCAGGCCCGGGCCATGGGAGGCCCCCTTTCCAGGCAGAATAGCAGCTGCTGCTTGAGGAAGAGGAGAGCGAGTTACTGCTGCTAACCGAGCGGGGGAGGGGGTTATCTGGCCAACCCCAACAATGCACAATAATTGACACCGTCATGTAAAAGACGGCCAGATTTTTCTTCTGCTTTTGTTGTGCAATACGAAGACTGAGATGGAAGAAAATGGGGGAGTGGGGAAGTCATGCCTTTATTTTTATGCCAGCCCTCAGCAGTCTCTGCCTCTCTGGGCACAGCCAGTGTTCACGTACCTGGCTGTGATTTCCTCTGGGGAGATCCCTTGATCAGGCCAAAAATACTTTATAATGACGACAATTGTGACATACCAGGTCCCGATCACACTCAAGCAGCTGAAAGAGAGCAAAATTTAGGGAAGTGGTGATCAACAAGAAACATTTATTTCAATACCACCATTTTCAAAAATGCATATTACAATCAGAAACGGGAGATCCTATTGATTGAAATAATGATTTAAAGAAAGCTTAGGATATGGATCTTAGTAATCCCACGCAGGAGATCAATTGGTAAAGGTTTCGAAAATTGGGTTGATTGACTTCAGCTTCAGTGAAAGAAGATTATACGTCGTTGGCACCCAATTCCTGTTAGATTGGCATAAATTATTCTTCCAAACGTTCAAGAGGTTGTCAAAGCAAAAGGGTCAGTCTTTCATTTGTGATGGTCATGCGATAAAATTATATTCTTTGGGTGTAAAATCTTTGGAGAGAGAAGTGCTACTACTAATCCAAAAATTGCATGCTCCCGAGAGCCAGCTATACTGAATGTATTTACAGGATGAAACCATAAGCTTAAAAATAAAGAAAGCATTCTTGATTCATCAGCCAAAATAATTGCCCAACATTGGAAAATTCAAACTAACATAACAGAGTTGTGAATTAACTAGGTCCGTGATGGCGAACCTATGGCACGCGTGCCAGAAGCGGCACACAGAGCCATCTCTCCTGGAATGCCAGCCGTCATGTTGCTCTTCCAGGTTCCAGTGCGCACATGCATGCTGGCCAGCCGGTCTATGCACACATGCGCACCAGAAACCAGGTGACCGGGGCACATGCCGGAAACTGGAAAGTAAGCCTCCTGGCATGCGCATGGGTGCCAAGGAACTGCTCTTCTGGTTTCCGGTGCTCCCCTGCGAGCACTTGTGCGCGCTCCCCTTTTGGCACCCAGTGCTGAAAAGGTTCGCCAACACTGAACTAGGTATCTTTAACTGCTACATTACAAAAAAATTACAAAGTTAAAATTAATGAGACATCAGAGACAGGAATCATGATTATCAAATTTGGACAGATCTTGTAGTTTTATTTCAGTGGCAACAGATTATACTCTGCTATACTTTAGACAGATGGGAAATGTTTATGACAGGACCTGTCAAGGCCTATTGCAGTAAGTCGCTTTTGTATTTCCTATTTTTCTTTTTTGTTTCTTTCTTTTAATGTCTTGGATTTATGTTAATACCTGATTTTATTTATTAACATTTAATAAAATATATTTAAAAATATTACTACTTCTTTATGCAACTTGTCTCATCTTTAGGTTTATTTACTTCCTTGTATCCCGCCTTTATTACTTTTACAATTAACTCAAGTTGATGGACATACCCAACACATCTTCCTCCTCCTCCTTGTCCAACAACCCCAACAACAACTCCTGTGAGGAGGGTTGGACTAAGAGAAAAACCAGCTAGTTTTCACGACTAAGGCGGGACTAGAACCCACAGTCTCCCCCTTTCTAGCCCAGTGCCTTAACCACTAGACCAAACTGGCTTAACCTATAAGTTGAACATGATTTTAATAGAGGGAAGGGTGCTCTAAAAACCCAGTTGGTGGAAGGAATGGAGAACAAATCCGTGGAAAGCATTCAGGGGGAACACACAGGATTTTCCTTCCTGGAATCCAGACTTTTGCTGCTGCGAAAGTTAAGGGTTAAAAGAGCCACCCCCCCCCCAAACTGGTGTTTGTCCTATAAAACAGAACTGAAAGCAAGTTTGTGGGTGGGGGTGGAGAGAAAGGGGTGAAGACAGGCAGCCTCCAAGCCAAAGGCAAGCACCTCAGCAGCAGCAGCAGGCAGATAGAAAACCAGAATTCTTGGACCTGACAAGGTCCAAGGGGCTGCAAAGGGGCAGGCAAAAAAGCCCACCAGTCAACCCACACAACATCTGTGTGGGCTGGCCCCTTGGGGGATATGGACACCAGCAGCAGCCCCACTCGCTCCCCCAACTGGCAGGTACCTGGCATATTTCTGGAAGCCAATTTCTTTGGGGATGGACAGTGGAAGGATGAAGAGAATGGCCGTGAGGCTGATCGTGCATTTGCGATCCGTGAACCAGCAGCTCCTCCCTTCTCCAGCGCAGCTCTTTATCAGCACTGGAATTACTTCCGGAGACACAGAAAGGGACAGTTGGCATCCAAGGGCCCAATCCATGAAATGTGTCCTTATTAGCATACACCAAGGGACTGCAGGATGGCAACGCTCCCTTAGAGAAACCGTGGATGAATTCTAATTTTGGAAGACGAGAGAGGTGCTGAGGAGGAGGTCACCGGCCTCAGAGTTGGCGGGTGAAAAATAGGGGTCGGCCTGCTTGATTATGCCTGGAGTTCAAAGTGAGCAGCCCCCAAAAAAGACGTCGCCCAAGACAGGATCTGGGAGAAGTCTAGGGAAAGCACCCCATGGCGCCCACTGCCACACTCACTCTTGTCCTGCTGATCCCCGATGATAATGAGGAAGGCAATGCAGGTGCCAAAGGTATAGACCACGATGGCCACCTCACACAGCACGCCCAGGACTCGGCCACAAACAGCCCACACCACTTCCTGGTAGGTGCGTTCGTTACTGGCCTGGGAGCAGTAGGCCAGGATGACCAGTCCACCAATAATGAAGAGCAGCAGCCCCTGCAAGGGAGGCAGAGAAGGGCAGCGTTAGCTGGGAGGGAGGGGCACCCAGGCAGAACAGCGCTTGCAAGACACACACACACACACACACACACACAGAGCCGTAGTGGCACAGTGGTTAGAATGCAGTACGTCAGGCTACTTTTTGCTGACTGCTGGCAGTTTGAATCTCACCAGGCTCAAGGCTGACTCAGGCTTCCATCCTTCCGGAGGTGGGTAAAATGAGAACCCAGATTGTTGGGGAAAAGTTGCTGACTCTGTAATCCGCTTAGAGAGGGCTGTAAAGCACCGGGAAGCGGTATATAACTCTTAAGTGTTATTGCTACTGCACAAGGGGGTAGCCAACCCACACACCACAGGACAAGCTCTCTGGCCTACGAGTGGGTGCTGCCTGCAGGCTCTCAGGCCAGGCCCTTTGGGACCCCAAAGAGCATTCATGGAGGGAGTCAGCACTTGCCCTTCTGGTGGTTGTGCCTGGCTTACAGAGCCATCCTTCTCTTGCTCTTCAGGAACACTCAGGCTGGCAATAAGCCCTGCCCAGCAAGGAAAGGCAGCGGAAGGCCCTGGGCCAGCACTGGCTCTTGGCAGGTCCCAGATGAGGTTTGCTCTGGTCCCCAGGTTTGGCCACTGGAGGGCAACCCGAGGGGCCAATGGTTGCTGGGCCACCCCAAGGGCAAGTCTCTTTTGAGGTGCACCCGTCGACCCCAAGGAAGAGAAGCCTCTCCCAAAGAGCCCAGCCCAGCCCGTAACGCTTGCTCTGGGCCAGCAGCACCAAGCAGGACCCTTCACCGTCTGCATGGCGATTCCAGCTGCCACTCCGCCGGCCATCTGGAAGGCTGCCGGGAAGTTGAGCAGGCCTGCGCCAAGCGCGGCGTTCACGACAATGAAGACGGCGCCCAGCATGGAGGTGGTGGCAGGCCGGGGCTCCTCCGCGCTGGGGCTCTGCAGCAGCCTGGCCCGCTCGCCCGCGTCGGCGCTCCATTCCCAGTCGCCATAGTCCCTGTTGATGCCCACGTGGCTCTGAGTCATCTTCTCCTGGCGGCAGAGTCCGGCTTATCCCGGGAGCGAAGTCACACATCCCTTGGGACGAAGGAGGCCGGGGTCCCGCAGGGCAGCAGCAGCAGCAGCACTTCTGGGGAGAAAAGCCGGGCGCCATCAGCCTCCCCTCCGCCCCCCCCCCAGCTTCTTAGGCCCCAGACCCCCTGCCCGCTCCCCCCCCCCACTGCCCCCCAAATCAGCTGCCGGCCTTCAGGCAGGCAGGGAAGCCTGCAAGCAGCAGGGCAAGAGGCGGCCTTCAGGAGGGCGGACGGAGCCCACCGCCCTGGGGTGCCCTTCCCGGGCGCTGCAGGCCCAGCCAAGCCCCCCACCCCCAGCCCCCGCCCCAGTCCCGAGCCGAGCATCGCCCGGGGAGGCTCCTGCCCTGCGCGGAGGCCGGAAAGAGGCCCGTCTGCGCCGCTCTCGGGACAGGCCCGCAACCGGCGGCTCGGCAGGGGCATCGCCGGGCAGGCGGCGCGGGGTCTTTCGGGCCACGGCAGCCCTCCCAGCCCCCGGCCCCGCCCGCCCCGCCCCGCCCGGCCCTCACGGCGCGCAGCCCCGGGGGAGAGGAGGCGGGGGCGGCGGGAAGCCTCCGGGGGGGCCCCGAGTGCGGATCCGGCTCAAGACCCCCGGGCGGCGCGGCCGGACCTCCCAGATCGGGGCGAAGTCCGGGACCCGCCCCGGGGCCGCCCAAGCGCCTCCCCGCCCGCCCGAGCACGCGCACCCGCAGCCCTCCCGGCCGGCCGGCTCTCAGCCGCGACCCCCGCCTGGGGGCTCCGGCGCGCGCGGGACGCCGGGAAAAGGAAGCCGCCCCCTCCCCCGCCTCTCCTGCCGCCCCGCCCGCCCCCGTGGGGTGGCCTGGATGACCTCCGCGGCCCCTTCCCGCCCTCCAGCTCCGAGCGGCTGAGATGAAGCCCCGCTGGGAAAGGGAGGCCCCGCGGCCTGCCTCAGCCCCCCCCCCCCGCAGGCCTCCGGATTGGAGGCAGCCGTGGGCAATTGATTAACAGCTGAAGAAGAGCTGGAAGGGACCTCGGAGGTCATCTAGTCCTCAAGCAGGAGACCCTACGCCGTTTCTGGAAAATGGCCGTCCAGCCTCTTCTGGAAAGCCTCCAGGGATGAAGGCAGCTTCTGTTCCATGGGTTGATGGTTCCCTCTGTCAGAAAATTCCTCCGTTTCCAGGTTGAATCTCTCCTGGATCAGCTTCCATCCATGATTCCTTGTCTGGCCTTCGGGTGCTTTGCAAAAACAGTTTGAGCCCCTTCCTCCTCTCTGGGGCAGCCCCTCAAATATTGGAAGATGCTCTCCTGTCTCCCCTGGTCCTTCTCTTCCCTAGACCAGCCAGGCCCAGTTCCTGCAACCATTCATCGCATGTTTTAGTCCCCAAATCCTCTTGGTTGCTCTTTTCTGCACTCTTTCCAGAGTCTCAACATCTTTTTTTTATAATGTGGTCCCCAAACTGGATGCAGGACTCTAGGGGTGGCCTTCCTAGGGCTTTAGACTGGTATTAGTATTTCACTGGATCTTGACTGCATCCCTCTGAGTGCAGCTTAGGATCGCATTGGCTTTTTTGGCTGCTGCTGGCTCATTAGCTAGTTGTCCACTAAGACTCCTGCATCCCTCCCAGTTCCTGCTCTTAAGGTTGGTTCCACCCAGTCTGTGTGTGTCCCTTTGGTTTTTCTTGCCTAAGGGTAAGACTACTTGCCTCTACATTGAATTTCATTTTGTTAGCTAGGGCCCAGTGTTCAAGTCTGTCAAGATCCATCTGGACCCTGAGCCTATCTTCTGGAATGTTGGTTATTCCTGCCAGTTTATTAAAGCAGAAAGCCCTGTAACTCCAAGAGGGCTTCAGAGCCCTCCTTGTGGTGGCCTGGATGATCTCTGCCACCCCTTCCTGCCCTTCAACTCTGACCGGCTGTGATGAAGTCCCACTTGGGAAGGAGACCCCGTGGCCTGCTTCAGACCACCTGTAGATGGAGGCCCATCCTGGGGGGAGGCAGTTATGGGCCAGCATGTTGTGCAAACCTGGGGAATTGGGGCTATTTATTAAAGCAGGGAGCCCTGTAACTCCAAGAGGGCTTCAGAGCAAAGGGGGCACACAAAGCACACCAGTCGCTCCCCCCCCCCCGGCACAGGGAAGTGGCGATTCAGCTGAAGGACACCCAAAGGCCAGGGAACTGAGGCCAAAGGCCAACTCACGTGCCACCCAGGGCATTTCACAGCCCTCCCTGGTGGAGCCAAGGCCCAGCCGAACCCGCATCTTCTTTCTTGATGTCCAAGATGGATGTCACTTCACTACCAACCCCCACAACCTCCGTCCCTGTGGAGTCCCAAGCAAGCGACCAAGGGCAACCCTGAAGAATCCCAGACCAAGGTGTCTGATGTACAGCAGCTTTATTAAAAGGGGGGGGGGGGGGGGGGAAGGGAGGGAGAGACCGGCGGCGCCGAGGGGGGGTGGGGGGCGGGCAGCCGGGGCACAGGGGGCGGGTTGCCCACCACCTCGGGGGGGGGGGGGGGGGGGAGGAGAACCTGCCAGGCTGGAAGAGGCTTCTGAGCTTGGCTTCCCAAGTGGGAGAGGCAGTTTTCTCAGCAGCCACACAACTACCATGTGTCTCTTTCGGTGGCTTTGCTGTTCCACTGATTCATTTGAGAAAATGTGTCACAGGATGGATGGACTGCAGAAGGCATTTGATGGCTGCAGCTGTGCAGGTCGCCCCGTTCCCCAGAATGCTTCTCCCCACTTGGGGTTCTGAAGGGACAATCAGACGGTGCAGCTGGGGAGGCACCCTGGCATCAACCTGGCACAGGACAGGTGCGCAGCTAGTAAAGCTCGTTGGTTGAGCAGCCGATTGCCACTTTCCTCTGCCCTCTGCTTTCAGATGGGGGGGAGACACATATGAGAAGATTCAGGGGTCCATCATACAAGTGTTCACAACATAAAGGAGGGCTTGCAGTGCGAATATTGGGGGTCAGTTTTGCAACTTCTGTCCTACTTAATGTATGTGATGTTCCATTTCTGTGGACGTTCTGCCACATACTTTAGAGCAACTATCTCTACCAGAACTGAAGCAGCACTAAAAATAATTTTTGAATAGGAGAAAGAATATTTCCTTGGTGAGATGAGCAGCTGAGAAAAACTAACATGGGCAAGTTGTCTTTTTTAAGAGCCACAGCATAGGCCAACTCTGCAAAGCTTTCTACCCCAGGAGGAAGGCTTTCCACGCAAGCATCCCATCCTGGACACATACGAGGGTTTCTCAAAGACCCCAAAGGAAAGAAAGGCAATTTAATGTGTTATGGTTATTCAGAATTAAACCTGTCAGTGAATAGTTTAAAATACTGTGCTAACTGCTTTCTATTGGGAAATTGGTGTGTGTGTGTGTGTGTGTGTGTGTGTGTGTGTGTGTGTGTGTGTGCGTGAGCTTAGATTCCTGTCATAGGATTGACGAGAACTTTTTCTAGCAAGAAAAAAAGCCACTCTTCCTTGAGAGCTTGCATTGAATCCCTGGGCGCAGAGTTTGGGAGAAGGATATCCACTCCAAGCAAGCAGACTGAACAGGGCGCACTTGAAATTAGGCTGGCTATTTATGGGAGCTGTAGTCCTGGGGAAAGCTACCCTCGCAGAGACCGAGAGTCTCCTAGCCCAGCTCAGAGGATGCCGGAGTGTTTGCACACAAGACCGGAAGTCACCTCAGGCGATGAAGGGTGGGGCATGACACACAGCCAAGTGACAGATGGTGAAAAGCAAGGGAAATGCTTGTGCTACGCACTGCTGCTCCTCCTACTCTTCCCCCCAGCCTAGCCAGAGTACGAAGCCATCCAGACAATCCTCCCTGTTCACTTGGACACCTGGTGGATGGCATGAGCCAGGTAAGCCACGTTGCTCGAGGTGAGACCTGCAACGGAGATGCGGCCATCCTTGGTCATGTAGACGGAGAATTCTTTGGTTAACCGTTCCACCTGGAAAACAGAAGGTTCAGTTCAGGAGGAGGCCTTCCCAAGGCCCACCCTGAAAGCCCAGCAATTGTGTCTCCCAAGGAGCCTGGCTGGCTGGCCAAGCAGCAGAGACACCCCCCACCCCCCACCCGCTTCCTTCTTTGCTGCAACAAAGGCAGCACCAACATGGGAGGGGAAATCCCTGTTATCCTGCGGTTTTCTGGGCATCACCAGCTACATTCACTATTTTAATTTTTCACTAATTTTTATACTACACTACAGCAGAAGTTATTTCAATACAACATAATCGAAACTAAAAGCCCAGGTGATTCCCAACACCCAAGATTGAGGGGACTTCAGCAAGTTCAAGGAGCATAGCAAGACCATGACCAGGAGGGGGGGGGGGGCTCTGTCCTCTGGAGCCTCTGGCCAGACACAAAGTTCTCAGTGATTTGACAGGACTGGACCTGGCTCAGAAGCTGATAGGCAACCTGCACAGTTGTTTCAACTGTGAGAAACACAAACGGGTGTCATTATCTTCTAGGCTTGAACTACATACACACACAAACCTCAGCCTGTACCGTAATAGACTTGATCGAGTCTTGAAAACCAGAGAGGACAGTATACACCTTTTCTTTTAATGTTTTAAAGGAAGAGAGTCCAGACTCTAGAGCAATAGAGAGCCAGTTTGCTGCAGTGCTTAAGGTGCCGACCCAAAAATCTGGAGGCTGTGAATTCTAGTCCCACCTTAGCTATGAAAGCCAGCTGGGTGATGCTGGGCCTATCACCAAGAGACGGTGAGTTTTAGTCCAGCCTTAGAGGCATGTAAGTTTACTGACTGACTTTGGGTTAGTCACTCTTTCTCAGCCCAACCCACCTCCTAGGGCGGTTTTGAAGAAAATAAGGAGTGCTGGAAATGTTTGCTGCTTTGAATTATACATATGTGAAAGTAATAAAGGCAGGATATGAATGAATGAATGAATGAGAGAGAGAGAAAGAAAGAAACAGAGAGAGAAAGGGAGAGAAAGAAAGTTGGGCAGCCTCTTAATTTACAAGCCTAAGATCCCCGTTGTAACCCCTTCATGAAAGCATCTGGGACTGAGTAGAGATGAAAATAAGGCTCCCCCCTAAAGCAGGGGAGGCAAGCTTCTCGGAAGCCCCCCAGGGTCGGGCTGCTAAATAAAGGGGGCAAAAGGTGAACAGAGCCCAACTAGGGTCAAGGCAGACAAAAGGCTCTGGACGCCCAGCCCACCCCCCTTCTTACCTGTTCCGGCTTCAGTCCCGTGAAGCAAAACATGCCGATCTGATCCGTGATGTGCTGCCAGTTATGAGAAGAACCTTCCTTCTTCAGATTGGCCACCAGTTGGGTGCGCATGCCGATAATGCGGTCGGCCATTCCCTTCACCTCTGCTAGCCTGCCCAGAGAGGCCAGAAAAGGTGCTCAGCAGCAGGGAGAGCAGGCCCACCACTACCACCCGGGCCCTCCCCATCCTGCTCTCCGTGACCCCATCTCAGAACCCAGAGGGAGAAGCAAGCTGACTTGGAAAGAGGCCTGATTACAAGTGGAGGCATTTCCGTTAAGGACAGAATACTTGGCCCTCAATTCAGAGTCGGACTGCTCCGCTTTCCCAGGGTGAAGGAGATTCAAAAGGCATCTATGTCACTTGACAAGGTCACCCCCACCACTGGCCCATCCTGGCACTCCCTTCAAAACCTCTGCAGTTATGCCAGGAGCAGCCCAGCACATGATGCCGCACTAAGACGCTTTGGCCCCAGCAGCATTCAGTCCTGAGAGGATCTCGCCGGAGGCCCACCTACCCAAAGGCTTCTGGCTCCAAAGCAGAGCAAAGCCACAGCTAAAGCACAGAAGAGAATCCGGCCTCTGCTCTGCCTCCCAGGACTCTTACCATTCCTTTCGCAGATCAGGGCTGTTTAGGATAATGGAAGCTATCCGAGCCCCATTGATGGGGGGGTTGGAATACATGGGACGGATCAGGATCTTGAGCTGGGACTCCACTCTCTTGGCTTCCTCGGAATCCTTGCAAATGACAGTGAAGGCGCCCACACGCTCCCCTAGAGACAGAGGCCAAGTTGAATGTGGACCCCTCCTCACTACTCCAGCAACACCACCCAGGCACCCCCCCCTTGCAGCCTCTCTTGCCTCCTTCCCTGGCCCTGTTGACTGGACAAACCCCCGACATAGTCCTATCCTGAAGACCATCATTCTCCAAGTCATTTCTTCAAGATGGAGGGTTCAGCCCTGCCACAGCCATAGAAGAGCTCCAAACCCTTCCTCCCCCCCCCCCCCCCCCCAAACAGCAGGAGGCCTGCTGGTGTGTGAACGCACAGAAGTCCAACTCCCTTTCCTGGTCTATTACACACGAGGAGCTAAACCTTCTTGCAAGAAGGAGATAGGAGGACAGGGCAGCTAGGACGGCTCCGGTTCAAGGCCTGGGCTCAAAGGTGCACCTCCCCTGCGTGACCTGCCCAGAGGCTTGGGCATTGCAGCCAAGGCAGAAGCAGGCCCTGCCAGGTGAAAGTCTTGGCCATCTTTTCCCACAGTGACAGCTGCTGGTGCCAGGCCAGCCCCAAGGGAGAGGGGGGAACTTGGTTTAGTTGCATCCTCCATTCTGGGGTGGGGGCAGCATTTACCATGCTCTGGAAACCCAGCCAGTTTGGTTATTGTTGGAGGGATTTATTGAGCCCTCCTAGGAACGACCCAATTTAGCAGGTGGAGAAGACCCCAATGTAGCTCTTGACTGGGTGCTGCCATACCCAGAACTGGACCAGATGGCATGAACTACCCAGCAGGCAAAGCCCCTGCACCCTCTGTGCATCAAGCAGGCTCTGGCTAGCCACGGTTTCTGGGAGCAACCCAAGAGGGAACCCCCCTTCCCTCAGAGGTGGTGTAAAGTCACGGCATCCCCATTTTTCCTGGGGACACCCCAGAAACTCCCCTTTCTAGCCTTTCCTTGAGGTCTTGGGGGAAGAGAGAAAAGGCTTACCGTAGAGGCCCATGTTCTTGGCGTATGACTGGGAGAGTACAATGTTAATGCCTTGCTCAATGAAGTGACGGACGGCCCATGAATCTCGGTTTATGTCCCCGCTAGCAAAACCCTGATAGGCCATGTCAAAGAAGGCGAAGAGGTTCCTTTTCTGGAAAAGAGTTTCCAAGGGTGGCCACTGAAGCAGAACACCCAGCTGCTGGCCCTCCATTTGTACAATGGGGAGCTCAATAAGCCACCTGAGCTTTTCATACAAACAGCCCCCCAAAACAAAAAACCCCACCCCCCAATGCCCTGAAATGTGTAACACACAAGCATCTGATGCATGCAACTCAATACTGAAAAAAAAACCAAAAGCGCAGGAAGGCTGAAGGTCATTATAGCATTGCCAGCCACGTCCTCATGGTTTCATTACATTTATTAATTAGCAGAATAAGTAACTCAGGGTGGTGTGTAAAATAATAAATGATACATAATAGCAATCATCAATGTGAACAAAAGGTGGCCACCTTCATCCACACCCAAAGTATCAAAGCAAGGTTTCGTGGTGAGGCAGTGGTTAGAATGCAGTATTGCAGGCTAATTCAGCTCACTGCCAGGAGTTTGATCCTGACTGGCTCAAGGTTGACTCGGCCTTCCATCCTTCTGAGGTGGGTAAAACAAGGAGCCAGATGGTTGGGGGCAAGAGGCTGAAACTTAGAGAGTGCTGTAAAGCACTGTGAAGCACATGTAAGTCTAAGTGCTATTGCTATTTCCAGAAGACCGGAAGGAAACCCATCTCCAGGGCAAGATGCTCTTGAAAGCTGAGGCTATCCTCCATTCCCGTGTCATATGGGCAGCACCCCCTAGCAGCCCTTTTGCCGACTCTTTTTGGAGAAGGCAGTCCCTACGGCTGCTACTGGCAAACCAGCCACCGCTGGACACAGCTTCCCCCTGCAGCTTCAGCAAGATTTCCCTCTTTCCAAATCCCACCGCAACAGCTCTGCCTCTCACAGGCTTACTCTGAGCTTGTTTCTTCCCATTAATTCCTTCACACCTTCCAGCTACAAGCTCAGCACCTCCATAGCAACCCGGACCAGAGTAGCGACACAGGGCATTATTAGCTTATTGATGATCTCTCCCAGGAAAGGCTAAACCGTGAAGGGAGAGAACTGAGACTTGCAATTCCCCCCACTAGAGCCCCAGGTGCTCGACTTCCCCAAACAACCGCCTGGAACCAGGCAGGAGCAGAACTACTCCATCTCCACCTTCCCAGGACCCCAAGACCATCCCCATTCTCAAACATTGCTGAGAAGTCCCAACAAGACCGAGAAGCCTGGTCTGAATCCTGATTGAAAGGGATCCAGACAATCTGCATCCTCAAGGCTCCTCTGCAGCCGATTCCCTACTGTTTTTCAGTCATTTTCCTTCAAACACGGAAGTTGGAGACTGCCCAGAAACTGAGCAACATGCAGAGGAACACACACCATATAGGCCTGAAGACGGGTAAGTATTTGGACTCCGTCACATTCATATCTGGGTCTCTGCGTTACTACTCTAGCTGCCTCTTTACTCCCACCATTTCTGTAGCTCCACTGAAGATCAGGGAGTTGGTCAGGATCAGTGACCACCTGGCCTGGCTTAGCTATTCAGCAATGCAATCAACCAGTCGGGAGTTCTCCAATCAGAGGTCCTTGAAACTTGTTCTGAAAGCACCATATATTGAACAAAATTTTTTCCCCAACAACTTTCCTTCTACACCTTCAGAGGCCGAAAATGTGGCCTCTGGACCACAAGTGGGTCAATGGCAAGTCCCACGTGGTCCAGGATGCTCCCATCCCACAGGCTTTTCAACTACCACCGCCCTTCCCCACCCACCCACTTCCCTCCTTCAGCCACTAACAGACCTCTTCTTCTCTGCCTCTTCCTGAAGGGGGAAAAGGATTATGTTTCATAGTTAGCTCTAATAATTCAGAAAAGGCAAATGTTTGCCGTTTCTTGGATAAGATAGAAAAAAAACCCAAATAACCATCTTATCCCCCAACCCCAAAGTAATTTTGTTAGCAGCATGAGCTGCAAACTTTGGTCTCAAGTTCAAAGCATCCTTTTAAAGTTGTACTTTGAAAAAGCTTCCCCTTGTAAAATAAAATATTAAGAACAATGTGAAAAATAGATATAAATGTAAAAGAAAAGCCATTTTTAGGTACAAAAAGAAAAGTAAATTGTAAAGTAAAAATCAAGACGCCCTGCCCTTTGCTTGAGTGTGACCCTCCAGTCTCTGAGAGCGGCTACTACATTCTCACAGATGTGGCCAGCCAACTAATATTTAAGAAAACCCAAATCCCAACATAATTAGAATCAAATGAAACATCCGTTTCCCCTACACCCTACAGGGCCCAAAGGAGCACAGCCAAACCCCACAAGGGCTGAAGGGAGACTCCTGCCTGGGCCCAGCACTCACCTTCACCGCTACCGCCAGCTCCTTCCATTGCTCTGGACGAGGGTCCACTCCAGTGGGGTTGTGAGCGCAGGCATGGAACAGAATAATGCTCCTTTCTGGAATTTTCTTTTTTTTAAAAAAAAAAAGAGGATGCAGGGATAAGGCATGGATCACAATCCCCTTAAATAAAGTCATTTCCCCCATCACAAAACATGGCAAACCCCTCTTCTCATTGTTGTACTTTCATGCATCGGATAAAAGAGCCCCTGCCTATGGAACGAGCCTTCCACGCATCATCTTGGCTTTTTTAAAAGTGGCTACAGGACTTCAGCTTCAATCAGCCTTGCCTCACACTGGGGCTTTCTGGGCTACATTTTTCCGCACGTGTGATCCTCCCACCATATCTATCCATTAGTGTAAACTTACAGAAATGTCTTCCAAAGCTCCAGTGAAGTCGAAGCCGCACGTTTTGGGGTCATAGTAACGATAGCTTTGTAGCTGCATTCCGGCATCTCTGAAAATGGGTGTGTGATTCCCCCAGGAAGGCTTGGGGAGGAACACGTCACGGCTGGAGGTGAAGAATCGTTGCTAAACAGGAAGAAAGGGGAGGCAGCTGAGTTGGAGCTTGTAGATGGCTCAACGAGCCCTATTCTCTACATTTAAAGATTTTAAATGAGCACTCACCAAGAAGTTAGCGCCAACCCTTAAAGACCCAGTTCCAGAAATTGTCTGTACTGTAATATACTGAAAGGATGCAGAGAAGGCACATGAGAAATCCAGATACCAACAAGGAAAAAGAGAGATTGTTGTAGCTTAGAAAATACTGAGCTGCTCTCTAATTTTGCAGCCAAAAACTTTAAAGAAGCAGGAAATTGGAGCCCAAATCCACTTTCCCCCAAATACAAATTTGGAGAAAGGAAGTCCCAGAAAAATCCACAGGGCCACAAGTTTTATACCTCTGCTGTGAGGGTAGTCACACTCAACCAACTGAAAAGAACCATTGCAATTTTCAACTGCAATGATACTTTTGTGATACTAGAGAGCAGCAACTGAGCAGAGCGAAGCTAGTCACAATGAAATTTGAGGCCAGACAGCCCCTTGCCTGGCATTATTTAATTTGTGCAATGGGTGGGATTGCAAGATTTCAGTGGGGAATGTGAAAATTGAAACCACTCTTGAGATACAAGCAGCCCCATTTTTGACCTTGGGAGAGCTAAGTGTTAGTTAATCTCCTAGTTGGGTTCCCAACTAACCTAAGGAAGACGTTTATTTAGGGCTAATTCTACTACTTGCACATTATGTGATTAAATTAACTATGCTTCTTTGGGATAGCCACAGTATATCTTCTTCTGGACAGTCACTGTGAGCATGTTTTGTGGAGAGATCAAGCGATCACATTAAACTGTAGGATTGATCCGTAGTGGCACATCCAAGCCAAACATCAAGAAAATGTGGAGTTTCCGTGTTTTCACACAAAACTGCATTTACATGTCCCACATATTACCTTCCAACAAATGGGATAAAAGGAGATGGTTCACCTGCTGAAATGCTGCCTCTCTGGGACCCAGAACCTCCAAGTGTTTTCAAAATTAGATGCATTGTCAGCATTGTGGGTTATACAGTTACTTTCACCTTTTCCAACAGAGCAATTGGGGGTGACTGATTTCAAAGGCTCAGCTAAAGCCTCTCCAGAAGTCAACTCTTCATCCACAAACGATCCAAATCTTGCACAGCAAAGACAGCTTCTGATATAGGAACCTCTGTCTGAATGCACTTGATAAATATTTCATTTGGCTCCTTACCCGGCCACTTTGTATAACCTCATTTGTTTCTCCCAAAGCCAGTTCAGCTGATGCCTTGTTGAAGTCTGCTAGCCCAGATATTGGCAAATATTCCTTGTCCATCTTCTTAGCAGCTATCTGGGCTTCTGCCTAGACCATAAAGATATTCAATTTACTTATTGATTTCTCCCGCCTGTAAATTGGAAATATTCACCCAATACTGTTCCTAGATTACTATTCTAAATAATGCAGGGTTTCAACAGGAAGGAGAAGGGAGTTTGTAGGATTATGAATATGGTGTAAAGAAAGAATTAGTCAAATAGTTGAGCTTGAACAGTAATCACTTTTCTAGCTCGGGTGCGTTTTGCTACAGCCATTACTCATTCCTTTGGCTAGGCTTGCCTTCAAGTGGCCAATACTTACCTACCTGTGGTTACTTTCCTGACATTTTCGGTGCAGAAAAGGCAAACACCTAAATTCAGATTGTCCTGCCCCCTTCTTACATCTGCAAATTTGTTCTCTGAACTGTCTTTGTTAATCTTGTTAATCTTTTCTGAGAGAGCAAGATCCCTCAGAAAAGATGAACTATCACTTATTTAATGCCAAGACTGCATCCCATTGATAGTTCACTCATTTACATTTTCATTTTGACTACTGCAACATACAAACACCAAACCCTGGTGCTGCTTCAGCAGTTTCTTAATAGGCAGATTGTCCATTTAATCAAGCCATTCCTCCGGTCTCATTCGGGCTTCTGCAGCTCTTCAGTCAGAGAGTTCCTGCTGCTAAAAGACCGGGGCAAGATGGAGCCAGCCAGCCACTCGGAGTCTCTGGATTGGATCCCATCAGTAAAGGCTATAATCCTCACCCATCATGCCCCCCTTCAGCCATTCCATAGGCAAGAGAGGGAGGGAGGGAGAGTTTGAGAGAAGCTGCAGTTGCTCCCAGATCCTGAAACTTCACTCATGCCCTAGTTACCTCCCGTATGGACTACTGTAATGCTCTCTACATGGGGCTCCCCTTGAAAAGCACCTGGAGGCTCCAACTGGTCCAGAACGTAGCTGCACGGGTGATTATCGGCGCAGCTCGTTACGCCCATGTAACACCTCTCCTACGCGAGCTGCACTGGCTCCCAGTGGTCTTCCGGGTGCGATTCAAGGTGTTAGTTATCACCTTTAAAGCGCTCCATGGCTTAGGACCCGGGTACCTACGAGACCGTCTTTTGCCAATAGCCTCCCACCGACCAGTTCGTTCTCACAGGGAGGGACTACTCAGGGTACCGTCAGTCAAATTATGTCGACTGGCGACTCCCAGGGGAGGGCCTTCTCTGTGGGGGCTCCAACCCTTTGGAATGAACTGCCCCCGGAGATACGGAATATCCCTGATCTCCGTGCTTTCCGCCGTGCCAAGACCCTGATGTTCCAACAGGCAGGGCTAAACATATGAACAGGCGAATGATTTTTTAAATGTTATCTAATTCTGGGTTTTATTTGATTGACCAAACTAAGTAATAATTTTAATTAGCAATTTTATGATGTTTGTGTGTCTATATTTTTCTTGACTGTACACCGCCTTGAGTCCTACGGGAGAAAGGCGGTATAGAAATATAATAAATAAATAAATAAAATAAATCAGAGCTGCTGGCCGTCTCTGGGCAACGGGGCCAAGGCAGAGGCCGTCCAAAGGCAGCCTCTGAGGGCGCAGGACCGGCCCCACCGAAGCCCCCGGGGTGGGGGGATCCGAGAGGAGGCCGCTTACTTTGCGGACGCAGTTCAAGACGTGGGGCTTCCCGTTGTCGTCCCGGTAAGCCCCGACTCCCAGGTTCATCTTCTTGGCGCTGCCGTCCCTCTTGAAGGCCTCCGTCACCCCCAGGATCGGGTCGGGGGGGCCCATCTCCACGTGAGCCCACCAGGAGCTGCAGCGTCCAGGAACGGGAGGTCAGCCGCGCAGGGGCCGCCGCCGCCGGAGGAAGCCCAGCTCCCGCCCCCCCCCCCGCAGGCCCCGCAGGCCCCGACCCCGTCCAGGCTCGCGCGGGGCAAAGAGGTTGCAGGGAGGGGCCCGCCGCCTTTCCCCAGGGCCGCCCAGCCCGAAGATCAGGGGGCCTCCGGAAGCGCCGCTTAAGGCGGGAACCAGGCCGACTCTCGCCGCCATGGGGCGCCGCAGAAGCGGGGCGAGGCTGGGCCGCGACGCGCCAGACCGGAGCGGCTGGACCCCCGTCGGGCGAGAAACCCCTCTCGCTGCCCCCCCCGCCCGCGCGCCTCCGCTCCAAGGGCACCGAGGCCGCCCGCGAGGCCGCCAATCGGAGACCGGCCAGGCGCTCCCGCCCCCCGAGCCGCCCAATCACGGGCGCCCTCCTCGCCGCGATCCCGCGACGGGGTCCGCCGAAGGACAAAAAGGGGTCGCCCGGCTTCGCCTCTCGGCCGCGTTCCCAGGTGCCGACGCCGTTACCTGGCTCGGACCGCGAGGGCGGCCACGCGGGGAGGCAGGAGCGAGCGGCCACCGGACCACAGGAGCGCCATGGGAGCGGAGCGGGCGAAGGGATCCTGCGGACCTGCTGCTTCCCGGAGTCGGAAGGGGCGGGGCTTAAACTCCTCGGGCGGAAGTCTCGCGGTCACCGGGTCCTTTCGAGGCGCTTCTCGACGTCCCGCGCATGCGCCGTTCATTGCGCTGCCGTCGCGCTTTGCCGGCGGGGACGGGCTCTGTCTCAGCGGGGGATGCTGAGGCCGACGGCGGGCCCGGTGCGGCCGGGTCAGAGAGAGCCCGCGTGGGCGCCGGAGGGCCAAGCAAGGAAGCGGCCCCGCTTCTCTAGGAAGCCCGCGGTCGGCAACGACTGGCGGAGCAAAGCCCACCTCAAGGGAACCGCGATCCCCCCGGGAGAGCGCAGGCAGGAGGATGGTTTCTTGGGCCTCCCGGCGGCCCTCAGGCGCTGCTTACGAGGCTTCCGTCGGGGCTCCCGCGTCAGATTTGTGGAAACGAACTAGGGAGCCCGTCTTCGCCACCGGAGAGGTTGCACGCAGGTCCCGCTCTAGGGAAGGGATTTCTTCCGCTAAGCGCCCCGTGGAGGCCCTTCGTGCGGGCCGTTTTCTCCTCGGATGACGACCCATCGGCCTTAATGGCCTCACGCTGGTTGAGAAAACGACCTGGCTGCAATAGCTGAGCATACGGGACCTTTTCCAGATGGAACCCAAACTAGGGTGGCTGCCTTTGTTGATCAGCTGGGGCGGCCCCACGGAAGGACCGTCTTCCTCATCCGCCAGCCTCGGATCGTCCTGATCACGGCGTCCCTCTGGAGTCTGGACCGCCCGTGAAGGTTGGGAGCGGGGAGCGGTGCACTGTGGTGGGCCTCCTGGCTGAATAGGCGATTCTGGCAGGGGGCTGGGGAGGGAGGTGGGCTCCTCAGGCTCTCCGGTGTGGGTGCCGCCACGCCTGACATCTGCCAAGGTGAGATGAGGATTCCTCAATCCTTTGATACCAAGGAATGCATCTCTACTTCGGGCAATTTTCTGGCTGGGTATCTGGAGGCTGTTAGGACCTGGGTGGGGAAAAATAGACTTGAGACTGAACCACAGCAAGACAGAAGAGCAGTGTATTTGGAAGTCTGTTGATTCCATTGCAATCTTAGCTTTGGTCCTAGACATGATGGTGCCAAGAAATGATCTCTTCCCAAGGACTTCATGTAAACAGGAGAGAATTAGGGTAGAATTACATAATTCTAGAATCAAAATGCAGTTCTCTGTTCTAAGTAATTTGCATCACCACAAGGTCTCTAGTTTCAGTAATTTCCAGAAAACTTTGGGGTAACCTCACTTCAAATGGGGCTGTTCCAAAATACACAGAAAAGCACCATTCTCTGGCCTCATATTGATCTCATAGAAAAGGATGGCAGATGGCAACTGTTGGCAGTTTCTCCGACACCAATGAGTTGGATCAATGAATTCTGCTTGGAGATGAACATCCCTAGGTGAAGTTTGTGAACTGAGAGAGAAAAGGGCCATCTGGGGATGTGAATCCTGAGTATGCGGGCTCCACAGGAACAGCCTTTTGGCTCTTCTTTCAAGTCTACTCTTATTTATTTCTCAAAAAAGTAAGCTTTTACAATGATGGGTATCGGTGTTAATAGTAAGACAAATAGAAATAAAAATAAATTATGCAAAAAAAAAAAACTTCCATTCCCCACTATCCTGTCAAGAGCTGAAGAAGCTTCTTGGATGACAAGCGAAACATCTTCAAAGAAAAAAAGTCCAGCTGCCTCCTGAAAAAGCACCTTTGGAACAAACATGACCTGGATGACTGAGAATATCTAGAGACTTTTAGAAAAAAGGGTAAATTTATAACTGCTCTAGAGAATATTTGATGCTACTTCATTGTATCTTCTTTCTTGTTTGCTTTTAGCTCTGATTTCTCCCCCCCTCCCTTTTTTTTTTATCCTCCCTACGCTATAATAGTTTGTATCTTTGTTTTTAAATCTTTTAATAAAATCACACACCCCAGCTGTTCTGGTGTTAAGACTTCAGAATGGCTGGGAGGGAAACAGGAAGCATTATTGCTATTTTGAATACCTCTCAGCTTAACAGCCCTGCTGGAGCAGCCCTGAAGAAAATACTTGGTAGAAACAATTTAGTCACAAAAGAACCAGGTGAAAAAAATGCAGTCTTCCTCTTGGTGGCCACCAGAGCAAGTCTGCCCAGTTGTTTTGCCCAGTGGTTTTTTTAATGTGAACAGATGTGTCCCTTTCCAAGCGGAACTCTAAGCTGCAGCCCCTCACCTTTTTCCTAACAGGCTACAGAGATTTGGAAATTGGGCTGATGCTGGAGACAGACTTGGCTGTGGGCCAGTTTCCTATTTATTTGTGGTTAGGATACATTCTGGAGAAGCCAAATGGAGCAAGGACTTCGCCTCTGGGCTATGGGTCTGGCTGTGAGGGCCATCAACCCGTGTGTCCCATGAGACCCCAAATCAAAGTCAGCACTTGGCATTGTGAAGATCTGCCAGACCTGGTCAAATCTGAGAAGCTACAGCAGCACAAAATAGAGCAGCTGGCTCAGGCCCAGCCCAAAAGATTTTGGGAAGCCCAGCAGATGAAGTCCAGCTGTTGGCTACTTCTGTCCATGGAGGGTGTGCATGTGCTGATGCAATGTCTTCTCAAAAACACACACACAACAAAACAGCCCCCAGGGCAGCCAGAAAAGCCTTAACCATCCTGTCCTCTGCAGGGCTGAGAGCCAACACTCAATCATCCCCCACAAATGGCCAGTGCAGAGTAAGCCATCTGAAGTGAGGGGGAAAGGAAGCTCCGGGTTATTGGCAGATGGCAGGCTGGGCATTGAGGACCAAATCTGCCAGAGATCCATACTCCAAAACATACATGAAGCAGAACAAAACTAAATGAGATCTAAGCTCACTTCATGAATGGAATGTAGGACAATTAGCAGGACTGTGTCCTGTCAGTGGGAGGAGGGACTATTTTGGGTCTTCTAAACGTGGTACAAACCGGCCCAAGCCAGTCCAGGTCAATGGGATTCATGGCTAAGTAGGCATGCATAACATCAATGCTGAACTCTCTTAATCCTGTTTAATCATATTGGTGTGATTTAATTAATTCTGCATGCCCAGACGTCATGTTTTGAACTATAATCCAGGTTTTAAAAAGGGCTGAGCTGTTTTACAACTACAGAGATCCCCCATTGATTCGAGTTTGCAGGTCAAGTATCGACTTCGTGGTGCCCGGCCCAGGCCTTCCTCAGCTGGATCCAAGCGGGCAGATGTGGCAAGGTGTGCAGAAACACTTGGGGGGGGCTTGGACTGGGGGGCTGCTATGAAGAGCCCTCTGCATGTGAGGAATAGGAGTAGTTTGCAGAATTCCTGCCACCTTTTTAGAGCAGCCTGTGGGGGGATCGTAGGTCAGTCCTCCTGCTACTGGCGATGCACAAGCAGTTTCAGCCATAATAAGCCACCCAGATTCCGCTTTTGTGTTTAAAAGTTGGGGCTGTGTTGAGTGTTACTGGCAGTTTAAATAAGCCCTCTCCCCGTCCCCCCAAGCAAGACTGAGACCCTTGGGGCTCCCCAAAGTAGCAAGTTTCTAGGCTGAATTCCACCATAGAGCAGTTTGGGAGAATTTGTAAGGGGGCCCAGCATGTCCCATCCCAAAGCAAACGGGGGGACGATGACAATATTCCCCCTCCCCACAATGAGGCACCCCCCACCTGGCCTTTTGAAAATAAATGGCTCTGCCTTTTCACTGGGGTGGAGGGTTGTCACAGAGGAGCTGCAGCGTAGGGCTGGCTAGTGCCCACAAAGCCCTCCTGCTTTTTCATAAATTTTACTGTCAAATTTTAACTATCCTTGCTTCCATTTAAAATTTTTACATTGTTTTTCAAAATTTGGTACATCCATCGATCTTTGAGGGAAAAAGAGATGCTGTCAGAGAAACACCCCCCTCCCCCCAGTATGAACATGAAATCTGTAGGCAAAGGAGGCCTCTGACTTCCAAGCCTTCACGGGAAGCTCAGAAATACTGTATAGGTGTATTATCTATTTATGAAAAAAATATTTATCTGTACACTTTTCAACCTCCAGCACTCCTTAGTGGAGGAGATCAGCCAGTCCTTCACTGGACAAGACAAGGGCTGGAACACAAGTGAGGCTCAAGCAGGGCTGAAAGCCCCCATCGTTCTGCTCCTCTGGCTGCCGTCTCCCTAGTGCCCGTTCAGCTCCTTGCCCTTCTTCTTCTTGCCCTTGGCCTTGAGACAGCTTCTCCCACCTGGCTCTTCTCTGTAGCAGCCTGTTTTGCTTCTTTTGTGTTTCTTGACTTGTGATGAGTGCTGTGGGTCAGGGCAGTCACTGGGGGCCATCCCTGGTCCATCCTTCTGGACAGAACTAGCCAAGAAAGCCTTTTCCTGCTCTTCTAGCCGGGCGAGCTTTGCCCTCATCGTGATGCCGTGCCGAGCGCCCCTGGAGAAGCAGCAAAAGGGAGACGTGAGGCCACTCAAGCTGCCAGAGTGCGGAGCCCACCAGCCCTGCCTGGCAATAACACAGGAGGGGCCAGAATTAAGGAAGACTCGTCTCCACCGAAGAGCCACAGGGGCAGGGGGACTGAGCTGTCCTCTCTCGCCCATTTTGTGAGGGAACTTCAGTGGAGGAACTGAAGTAGCCAGGCCAGCATGACAGCCAACCCCACTGGGCAAAACCCACCCACAAGAAAGCCTGTGTCACTAGGACAGAGGCCTGCTCCATCTGTTCAGAGGGTTTGCCTTGTTGCACCGCAACCCATACAGCATCAGTTACAGGGATTTGGCCCTTGGTCTTCCCCCGAAAGCTGTGCCTAGCCCCCCACCCCCCACTTGCTCCTCACTTGTGGACTGTTCTTCCCCCACAGGCCTGGAACAGCTCCTGGTCAGTCAGCCTGCAAAAGACAGAAGGGGGGGAACCAACCTGGTCAGCATCTGCCTGGCTGGGGTGGGGTGGGACAGGAGCCGGGTTTCTCCAGGCCCCTCCTCAGCCTCACCTCCTTGCCATGGAGAGGTCCGGTTTCTCCTCCTCCTGGTCTGCAGAGGACACGGGGTTCATGGGCTCCTCTGTGCCAGATATCAGGGTGGCTGCCTGCAAGGAGGGCAAATCCGGCCAGTCTCTGGCACTGCCCAGGAAAGCTCCAACCCGAGGATCTCCCGTTGCTCCACCACAGCCCCCGTTACCTTCACAAAGCGGCCATAGAGCATGTTCCCCTCCTGGGCTCGGCATGGCTTTGTCCTTGTGACTGGCCCCTCTCGCTCAGAGGTTTTTCTCACTTGGACCCCATCCTGGGGGAGGAATGGAGGTTCAGAGGTTGGGGGGGGGCTATGCCCAAACAAGCCTTCCACGTCCTGTCACTTGTGAAAAGGGCTGGAGGTTATTTACCTGCAAAGATGATACTGGTGGAAACCCCAAGGACTTTTGTACACACATTGGCTTGCTGCACAGAAAACAACTGTACACACAGGTCAACAAACGAGACAGCTGTGTTCAACTGCTATGTGTTACCTTCAGCTCAATAAGTCCATTTTCACTCAACAACCAAAGCTTGCAGTCCATGCAGGGGCTTCTGTGTGTGCTGCAGTCACAAAGTACCTGACTTCATGTTGATCTTACTGACCTTTACCTGGGCCCCCAGGGGGACACTCATCGCTGGAGGTGGCTAACAGGATAAGAAGACCTCATCCCCGTCCCGTCCAGCCCTTTGCTCTCTTAGTTTGGTTTTATTATAGTTCTTAATGTGTTAACATTTTGCTCTCTTAACTATTTTTACTTGTTTCATAACCTGTAAGCAGCCCAGAGTCACCTTGTAGGGAGATGGGCAGCAAAGAAAACATGAATAGATAAATTCATAAACCTTTGGGTGCTGATCCCTCTCTCACATTAGACTTGTTGACACAGGATCACTCCATGGCTTCAGATCTACAGCTTCAGTGGCAAACTGCCAAACCAAAGCTACCACTATGCCAAGCCCAGCTCGTGCCCCCTTACCTGCTCAGCTTTTACTGTAATGTTGGCAGCAGACGAGTTGAACAGATGGTCCCACCAGTGGTAGGTGAACTCCTCAGCCGAGTCATGCCCCACCTGGGTCAGGAGGAGGCAGGGTCACAGATCTGGCCTACAAGCTTCAAATGCTCCCAAGTCATTAAGAACCTTAAAACAAGAAAGTAACTGTCCACCACCCACCAGATTCTCAAATGTGCCTCCAGATTGTCCCCACCCATCTAACCAAGAGTTCCATGCTAAGCCTAATTCTCTGCAGACTTCATGTAAAATCTGGACTATGGCCCGGTAGGCAAGTGCAGAAGCATTTTACAACTGAAGAATATGAAACTAGTGATCCTCCAGGCTGGACTGTGCTTATTTGGGTAATCCTAGCAGGCAAGAAGGTGCTTAGGAATAGACTAAGTGAGCCCTGAGTGCTACCATAGGACAAAAGATCAGCTTTGCTCAAAAGAGGCGATGGCGGTTTCGTTGCCTCTCTAGGTGGCGATCCCCCCTCCCTCCACTCAAAGTCTGACCCTTCCTTACCCCAGCTGTGTTGCATTTTATTTTGACTTTTAGGGCTTCAGTGATCCCATTTTCTTGTTTCCCAAGTCCTTTACCTAAAATAAAAGAAAAAACATTCCTTTCTCCTTTTCATTAAGAAACACATTTCGGTGGGACGCCCCAGTTGGTATAATTTTGAGATACAAGGGAGAAAGATATCGTTTGAACACCGTGGAGAAGGCAGAGCACTTTTACACTACTATTCTTAAGGAAAGAACACCATCCCCACGTACATCTACAGTTTTGGAGATTAAGGAGAGTGATGAGAAGCAACCTCAACGAGAATTGCAAGAACAGTCTAAGCAGGAACCAGAGGAAATGCAAGGCGCAGAAGGAGGTTTTCTGGATGAGCCTTTGCTGGAATCTTCTCCAATCTTGGACCCGGTTCGGATGATCGAAGTTAAGGATCAACGGATAACTCGAGCTCAATCTAAATTACTTAAACAAAAACAACAACAACAACAGGAAAGACAAGACAAGAAGGGAGCTAAGACTACTACACAAGAGACTGGAGCCATGGGGGGAGCGACTCCGAAGATTTTGGATGATATTCGGTTATTCTGCTCTTTGCTCCAGAAAGATGAAGATGATGCTTAAGTGTTTATCTTGGAATGTGAATGGGTTGAATTCAGCGCAGAAAAGGAAGAAATTATTTACATATTTGAAACAATTTAATAATTTGTCTACAAGAAACGCATATTACAGTTCAAGATCAAAAATACTTGATAAACTCCAAATTAGGAATACATTTTATATCTTCAACGTTGCAAAAAAAGAATGGTGTGGTTATCTATGTAAATAAGAAATTTACGGCTAAAGTTATAGAAACAGATGAAGATGGTAGGTTTGTAGCAATTGAATTACTTACAACATATGGTCAAATTCTTTTGATAGGAATTTATGCTCCCAACCAACAACAGGATTATTTCTATAAAATGTTACATACTAAAATACTACAATGGGACTATAGATCTATTTTAATCATGGGAGACTGGAATGGAGTAATAGACTCTAAATTAGACAAAAGGAGTTCAGCGAAATCTAGGATTAGGTTACCTCAGACCTTTTTTGATATGAAAGAAGATTTGGAACTAAAAGATATTTGGAGAATACATAACCCAAAAGAACTGGACTATACTTTTTATTCAGATAGACATAGATCCTTCTCTAGGATTGATTTCATTTTGTTGTCAGATGATCTACTTGTTAAGACAAAAAGAACAAAGATTTTTCCAAGAACTTTGACTGACCATAGCCCAGTATGGATAGAAATTGAGATGGATAAGATTGAGAGACGTTCTTGGAGATTAAATGAGAACTTGTTCAGATATGAAAAAAACACAACAGAACTTAAAAAGCATTTGAAAGAATTTTTTGAAATAAATTTGAATAAAGGTACCCCAATAGAAATTGTGTGGGATGCAAGCAAAGCCTATATGAGAGGGGTGCTTATCCATATGAACTCTAAACATAGACTGTTTCGACAAAAGAAAAGATCTGAATTGGAAATAGAAATAAAGAATAAAGAACAGTTACTTATTAAAAATCCAACAGATGAAAGAATATGCGGTGCTATAAAACTCTTGAAAGATCAATTCCAAATGCTTATGGTGGAACAAGTTGCAACAAACTTACAATATGCGAAGCATAATACATTTTGTAACGCTAATAAACCGGGCAGATGGTTGGCTTACACACTGAGGAAAAAACAAAGTATACGGACTATTGATAGTATTGATATTGGAGGGAAAGAAATTTTTCAACAAAAATTAATTAAAGAAGCTTTTGTGGACTATTATACCAAACTATATGCCAAAGAGGAGGTGCAGAATGGACTTATAGAAAAATATTTAAATGATAAGAGAGTTACAAAAATTACTGATCAACAAAAGGAAAGAATGAATCATCCTATAACAGAGGAGGAGATAATAGCAGCAATTAAACAGTTAAAAACAGCCAAAGCTCCTGGCACGGATGGTTTGACCGCAGTGTATTACAAAACTTTACAAGCTGAAATGGTGGGACAACTTAGAGATTTATTTTGCAATATTCAACAAGGGGGTAAAATACCCCCATCATGGACAACTGCTTATATATCTTTGATACCAAAAGAACAAGTTGGTCCTAAAAAACCAGAGAATTATAGACCAATATCTCTTTTGAATACAGACTATAAAATCTATGCAAAAGTATTAGCCAACAGGTTGATGCCAGTAATTCAAAAGGTGATTCATGAGGATCAAGCGGGATTTATTGAGGGCAGATATATGAAGGACAATGTAAGGCAAGTAATAGATTTATTGGAATATCTTGATAAGAATAAACAGATTCCTGCAGTGCTGGTTTTTTTGGATGCAGAGAAGGCCTTTGATAGAGTGGATTGGAATTTTCTACTAAAGACTTTAAAAAAGATGGATTTTGGGGATCAATTTATACAGGCGATTTCAGCAATTTACCAAGAGCAAAAGGCACAGATCATTATTAATGGAAGTTTGACAACAGAGTTCAAAATCGAAAAAGGAACAAGACAGGGATGTCCGTTGTCCCCACTTTTATTTATTTTAACACTAGAAGTCTTGCTAAATACAATACGGGACTCTAATATCTTGAAAGGTATAATGATTAGGCAAGAGGATTACAGAATAAAGGCATTTGCAGACGATCTGGTTGTTACCCTATCACAACCAATGGAATCAATAATCCTGATGAAGGACATTATACAAGACTATGGTAAAGTTTCAGGTTTTAGACTGAATCCAAAAAAGACTAAAATGATAGCTAAAAACATGACACAAGATTGTAAACATGAGCTTGAAAGAAGGGCAGGTTTTGAGATTGTACCTAAGGTAAAATATCTAGGAGTTCAGGTTGCAGAATCAAACATGAAATTGTTTCAAAATAATTATGAGGTGTTGTGGCGAGAGGTGCAGAAAGATATGGAGACTTGGAAAAAACTGCAGCTGTCTCTACTTGGAAGAATAGCAGCAGTTAAGATGAACATTTTGCCAAGATTTCTGTTTTTGTTTCAAATGATTCCGGTGCTTAAAAGTGATAAACAACTGAAAGTTTGGCAGTCTGGTGTGAATAAGTTTGTCTGGAACGAGAAGAAGCCGAGAGTGAAATTGAAAATTATGCAAGATGTTCCAGAAAGAGGAGGCCTTAAACTCCCAAACCTACAGTTATATTATGATGCAGCAGCTTTAACCTTAACAAGTGATTGGTTTGGAAGGAAAAAGACTGGAATATTGAACGCAGAAAGTTTTGATCTTGAATTTGGATGGCATGCTTACTTATTTTACGACGACAAAGTAGATAAAGTATTTAAAAGTCATATACTTAGAGATTCTTTGATGAGAGTTTGGAAGAAGCACCGACTCAAATGGGATTATAAAATACCGCTATGGCTGGATCTTGGTCATACTTTGTGGAATACAAATATAATGTCACTCGGGGGGGGTTTATACAAAGAGGTTCTTTTTACAGATGCGGGCAGATGGCAGCTGAAGACATTGCAGACACTGTTGGACGAAGGGATTAATTTAACTTGGTTACAATATAATTAATTACAATTGAGATGGAAAGAGGACCAAAAAACTGGTATTATGTTGCACGAGGAAGAATTGGTTAGACATATAAAAGAGAAAGGTCCAATGCATATCAAAAGGCTTTATAATGTTTTGCTAGAAAGGGATTCAGAAACTGAATTAGTTAAAGATTGTATGATTAAGTGGGCACAAAATTTTGAAGAACCAGTGATGTTGGAAACATGGGAAAAAATTTGGGTTCAGAATGTTAAATTTACACAGTCGCAGAACCTGAGGGAAAATTTTTATAAAATGTTTTATAGATGGCATTTAGATCCCAAAAAGTTGTCGTGTATGTACCCTAATGTTCAGCCAAAATGTTGGAGATGTGAATGTTTGGATGCTACGTATTATCATGTTTGGTGGACCTGTAGGAAAGTTAAGGCTTTTTGGATAAAAATTTGGTGGGTCATGCAGAATGTTTTGAAGAAAAAAATTCAATTCTCTCCACAATTGTTTTTACTGGGTATAGTTACGGGTTTTACATCGGGTGAAACAAAACTGATATTGTATATGATAACAGCAGCAAGATTGTTGATAGGTAAATATTGGAAAAATGAAGCTTTGCCCACTATTGAGGAATGGACTTTGAAGATGGCCAGTTTTGCAGAGATGGCGAAGATTTCAGCATACTTAAAAGATTGTTCACAAGAGACTTATGAGTGGGAATGGAAAAGGTGGATAGAATATGTTCAGAACAAATATCAAACTAGAAAGTATCAAATAGCTTTTATTTGAAAATAATATATTAGAAATATTTTAATGTAATGAGGGTAAAAAGAAAAACTATAAAGGGGAGGGAGGGGTTCAAGTTTTTACATAAGTTTTATATTAAGGGGGTTTTTTTTGTTTTGTTTTTTGTTTTTATCTTTCTTTACCAGATATGAGTATAATATAGGGAAGTCTGGGGGGAGGGGAGGGTTAGGGAGGGTTAGGGAGGTTGGGAAGTTTGGGGTGGGTGGGGGGGGGGAAAGGGGTGAAAATGTAATTGTAAAACTTTTGCAATAAAAAAAAAAAGAAACACATTGAAGCGGTGGTGAAATCCACTTACCTTCGCTACCGGTTCGGGAACAGGAACGCGCGCCACTTCTGCGCATGCGCAGAACCTTCTGTGAATGCACAGATGACAAAAAACTGGGACGTAATGATGACCCAGCGAGTGGGCGAAGCCTCCTGCCACCAGCGCTACCGGTTCGGCAAGCCAGATATAACCAGGGGGGGTGGATTTTAGTGCTGCATTGAAGTTAAGGACAAAACGGCAGCTCCTCCTTCAAGGAACCAACTTGGGGTATGATTTCTGAGCTAGACCTACAATTGACGGTGGTCCTCAACTTTCAACCATAATTGGGACGGGCATTTCCATTGCTATCTGAGGCGAGTTGTGCCTGATTCTATGATTTTTTTTGCTGCAGTTATTAAGTGAATCATAGGTTGCTAAGTGAAATCAGCTTCCCCACTGCTTGTTGGAAGCTGGCTGGGTGATCCCTTCATAAATACACAGCAGTTGCCAAGTGCCTGAATTCTGATCAAATGACCCCTGCAGTGGTAGGAAGTGTGAGGACTGATATGAAGCCAATATTTTCAGCACCACGGTCTGAAAGAGTCATTTGAAGGGTAGTTAAATGAATGGTCATAAATCAAGATCTACCGATATCACGTCATCCAATCCACACTTAAGAGGCTTGTTATTCAGAACAGTCAAATGCTTTGCTCCAATCAATCAAGATACGTCTTCATAAATCCACTTTAATAATGCCTGTGTTGTTTCAAGGAGTTCCAATCCATTCTCTTCATTATTTGCATCAGAATTATCCTAGCTAGGATGAACAACATCAGGCAGATTGGATGACGGGAACAGTTAATCCTTAGGTCCAAAAAGGGGGGTTTGTTTGAACCATATTTAATGAATGAAAATCCAGACATTTGCACCTGATATGCCATAACAGACAATGGGTTCTTGGTACTTTCCTATGGCTTTGGGCCCTTCCAATTCAGCAAGATTTGCAGGAGTAAATTATATGGAAAGCAGTAATCCAGGAAATCATTTTATTTATCCTTAGAACCTTATTTACTTGACTATTACATTTGTATTAGGCTTTTCCATATTATATGGCAAATCTGGCCCAGAATTTCTATAAACCATGGAAAAATATGACACTCGTTAAATTTAGAGATACTCCACAAGGAACACAGAATTTAGAAACTTTTTTTAAATTCTAATTTTCTGTCTTTAAAGTTCACGAACATGTAAACAACCACTATTAATTCCATTTGGTTTATTACTAAGAGACGTGCTTAGATGGCTCCATTGCTGAGCTGGCTATTTTTATTCCCTCTTCATTAGGGTTTGTATCTTTTTAAAAATATTTTCTGTTAATGTAATTTTTATATTCTTATAACTATAGTTTAATATGTGGTTTTTATAACTGTAGTTTTAAATGTGGTTTTACTCATTTGTTGGGGAAGTACAAATGGCGCACAAGGTCTCAAAACCATGACCGTATTTGTAGACCTAATTGCAGCTTATAAGAGTTTGGAAGGATATGTTTTTATACAAACTGTGCCATATTATCCCCTGCAAAAATCTCTATTGTTTAATTAATAATTTGCTGAGTGATGGGTCCTTTCCGTTAACAATAGGGGACAACGTAAGTAAGGTAAGAAGATTAAACAACGGCCTCCCACCAGGCTCTAAAAGGCACCTACACTATTCAAGTTACATTTATCTGACAGGCCAGTGACAAGGAGATGCAAATTTGGATACGCTGATGATTTGGCCATAGCAGTACAAGAAAAACATGGAGGTGGCAAAATTCTTCACTGACTGGAGGCTCACTCCTAGCACCAGCAAAACAGTAACTACATGCTGCCACTTTAACAACAAACTAGCATATAAAGGCCCGAAGGTCTACTTACACAACTTACTCCCCTATAATCCCCATCCGAAGTACCTTGGAGTAACATTGGACCAGATTCTCTCCTATAAGATACACCTAGAGAATACGGCGGCAAAAATCAAGACATACTGTACTTCGGAAACTATGTGGAACTAAATGGGGAGTTTCAACTGCCACCCTCAGGTCATAGGCACTTGGGTTGGTCTACTCCACGGCAGAATACTATGCCCTGGTACAGCTTAACAGCTGCTATATTAGTAAATTAGATGCCAGACTCAACGACACCATGAGGATTATAAGCAAATATATTAAAACCACTGCGATTTGCTGGCTTTGTGTTCTGAACCATATAGCACTAGCACTGCCAGCTTTACAAAGGCTAGGAAGAGAATACAGAAAAATTATGAACAACCCACTCCTCTACCGGTGCTGACCTTCCTCATTTATCATCCGGAAGACTCTAACCCAGAAAGTCCTTGCACAATATCTGCCCAGCAACTTCAACATTGATTCCCAATGGAAAGCCAAACACCCAGACATAGGAAGACATATAAATGACCCCACAAAAAAGATGCCAGGCTTTGAACTACCTTGTCAGCAATGGACAATCCTGAATGGGATTCACACCTCCCATGGTGTCTGCTGGGGCTCTTTGTATAAATGGGGCCTGGTAGCCTCCCCTCAGTCTGATTGCGTCAAACTGTAGATCACATCGTGACTGGCTGAAAGCTGAGGGCATCTACCCGTCCAGTATCTGATTTTTTAATATAAATGATGCTGCGCTTCAATGGTTAGATGGCTTAGACCAGTGATGGCTAACCTTTTTGCTATCGCGTGCCAAAAACGGGGGGAGCGCGGGGGGGTGTCACACGTGCCCACATCCATAATTTTATGCGCCCCCCCATGCTCGCTCTGCTTCTGGCACGCGATGGCATGGTGGGCCCGGTAGGCCCATTTTTCGCTCTCCCCAGGTTCCAGAACCTTTCTAGGCTCATTTTTGCCCTCCCCAGCCCCTTCAGAGGCCCTCTGGAGGCAGGAAACAGTGTGTTTCCTGACTTCTGGTGGGCCCAGGTCTGAAAATCAACTGGCTGGCACACGCATGAGCTCACGTGCCCACCAATATGGCTCCACGTACCACCTGTGGCACCCGTGCCATAGGTTCGCCATCATGGGCCTAGACATTGGTATTTGAAAATAGACTTTTTAACATTTATATTTTATTGTGTTTACTAACCTAGGTGAAATGTTAATATATATTTCTAGCCCATGTATGATATGCCATATGCTAAATAATGGCTCATGTGGTTAAAACGCTGAGTTGACAATCAGCAAGCCCATATTCAAGCCCCAAGTGTTACTGTGTGAGGTGGTGAGCTTCCGTCATTTGCTCCAGCTCACCTAAACGTTTGAAAGCACGCAAATGCAAGTAGATAAATAGGTACCACTTCAGTGGGAAGGTAACAGCATTCTGTGCGCCTCAAGTGTATATTCACAACTATAGAAAGTGTCAGTGTTGACTCTCTAGGCTAAAAATGGAGATGAGCACTACTGCCTAGAGTTGTACACAACTGGACAGGGGGAACTTTTACCTTTGAATAGGTGGGCTCATAAATGGGGACATGAAAGGAGCCCCCAACTGGGTGTCCCCTGGGCAACGGTGATGTTCCTAGCTAATCCTTTCAATCTGGAAGCATCTTGGTGCTAAATGTGCCAAGCACATTCAGCGCCAAGTGACTCATTTGTTGGGTGTTTCCCAGAGTTGCTTTTGGTGAGACGGGCAGCTATATACTTTTGATTAATAAAGAAAATAAACAAAGTTTCTGCTCTACTTAAGTGCGTAGAGGCAAACTTAGAACAGGTGAAGCCCTGCACCTTTTTTCCATCCATGCTTCTTCAACTGCTCCTTTGCAAACTCCAGCCCTTTGCTTGTTGTCATCAGTGCCATCTTCTTCTTTTTCTTCTTCTCCTCTTTCAGCAAATCACACATGATTGAGCTGGATAAGCACCCAATGAAATTCCCTAGTTCTAAAGCAGATCAATCCTTATTCTGCCTCCATGATCACCAGCTGTTAGAAAGAGAAACACATCTGGTGAGGAAAAAACACTCAAGTTCTAGAGCTGTAATATGCAGCCACAGATCTTAAATCAGAAAGCCTAAACAACACGCAGTCTCTTTATTCCAAGAATGTAACGGCAACACCAGGGCCTGGGCTTTGATTTAAGTCAATGTGCACCATTACAGAAAACAGCCCTTCCCTCCTGTAGAAGCCAGAGGCTGATGCTTCCTGGTTTCAAGAAAAGTTGTCCTGTACAAATCTTGGGGGGGGGGAGATCTGCATTTTGCCTATTGCTCCGTCACCCAGCAAAGCAAAAGGGCAAGAATGAGCCGGCGGTCTCCCGTTACCCTCTTTCGGATACAAACCGTCCCCCCCCCCTTAATTTTTTTGCTGAGCTTCAGGCAGCCTGCAGGCTTATTCCAGGGGTCTCCAACCTTGGCAGCTTTAAGTCTCGTGGACTTCAACTCAGAGAGTTCTGGGAGGAATTCAGGGCGTTTTAGTCCGCAAGTCTTCAAGCTGCCGAGGTTGGAGGCGCCGCTTATTCTACTGCTCCGGTTTTCCTCTGCCGGTTTCCGGCCCGGCTGCTGCACTCCATCAGCCCCCGCGGTGGGAGGCCGAGACGGCCCAGCCCAGAAGGCGCCGCTTCCCTTGCCTTGCCTGCCCCTGTCTTGAGGCCGGAGGTTCCACGGGGGGCCTGGAGCGCATCTGCAGCGCAGGCGGGATCCTGCCCGGGGAACCAGGCGCGCGTCCTGCCATGGATGCCAGGCGACCACCCTTCCCACCCAGCAAGCGGCCTGTGGCGGCGCATGGGGGTCGGAGTCCCGCCCGGCCCTGCCCGCCGCCCGCCGCCCGCCCCAGCCGGCCCCGGAGCCCAAAGGCGGCTCTCGCGGCTTACCCTCGCTCGCTCGCCCGCCCGGCCGGCCGCATGGTCCCTCCCTGCGCCCGAGGCTTCCGGGGAGGGGCTTGCGGGGCCGCGTTCTGATTGGAACGTCACAGGGACGCTGCCGGAAGCGACTCTTCGGATTGGCTGGAAGGACTAGAAGGCGCGATAGTCCCTAAAGAAATCTTCTCATTGGCCAGACACGTTGCCCATCATCGGAATCTTCAGCACGTCCGAAATAAGTCCGCCCGTTGGATTCACGTCAGAGGAAATACGGCTTGGGATTGGCTGGCGGGACTCGGGGACGCCTGATGTCCCGAACGGCGCCCCCGCAGGTGTGGAGGGTCGTTGCGCAAAGAGGCGGCGGGGGTATTAAGGCCGCCTGGGTTAGAGCCGCTGGGAGGCTGCGCTAGAAGAAGGAGCCTCGCTCGGCCGAGCCTTCCCGCCCTGAGGCGTCCACTCCTCCCCCACCGCTCGGCCTTCGGAAGCAGCGCCTCCCTCGCCGTCCCGAAGCGGCTCTTTCAAGAGGCGGCTGGTTTTTCTCTGAAGACGTTTCGCTCCTCAGCCAGGAAGCTTCTTCGGCTCTTCAGAGAAAGCCCGGAAAGCCCAGCCGCCTCTTGAAAAAGCCGCTTCGGGAAGCCGGAGAATCTGCCGAGGAAGGGCCGCCTGGCTCTCCCGGGGAACCAGGAATCCGTTTCCCGGGGCGGGAGGCGATCAGCGCCGGGCCTTTCCTCGGCTTCCGTCCTCACATGGGGGCCGCTCTTCAGGATTCTCCGCCCTTTTCCTGGGGAAAGTGAAGTGGAAACAGAGGCGCCCGTTCCGCCCCCATAACTGGGTTTGCGCGCCCAAAGGGCCCCTCTCTGGGGGGCTCGGATGCGGCATGGCGGGGGGGGGCGGTTGGTGCACCAGGTGCGGCTCACCTGTGAGATTCCAAGAGCTGCAGCGTCTGTTTCCATCCCTTCTTAGGTCTAAGTGCCCCCCCCCAAGTCCCTAAAAGGATGGAGCCTGGGGGAGAAGCGGGCCATTCTATGCCATGTTTATCCTGTTGGTCAATGGACAAACTCGCCCCTCGGCTCCCTCTTCTCCACTGGATCTGGAGGCCTGGTGGTTTCCCCCAGGTTACCTGGTTAAGTAGGGGCGGTGTGTGTGTGTGTCATGGCTCCTCTGCTCCTCTCCCCCCCCCCCAGTCCCATGGAAGGAGAAGAACTTGTGGGAAGTCAGTGTGGAGCTTCATGAGGAGGGAGGGTGCTTAGTGGGTCAGGAAGAATTTGACTGCTGCCCTGTGTCTTATGTGCAACCTCTGGGAAGATGCAGAAGTGGCTCCTCTACATGGAGGTGTCCCCTCCTTCCCTTTCTCTCTCAATGCCCATCCCAACCCAAAGTCTACTTACCATCCTTGTCCATTTTTTGGACCTCCATATCGATAATAATTTTTTTTTATTATCGATAATATGTTTCCTCCAGTTGGTTACATTGGAGAACTTTCAACATCAGCTTTGGATCGCTTACTTTTTCTCCCAAAACAGGAAGAACAATTGAAGAATCCCCTTCTAGAACATCGAAAAAGGAATCTTAAGGAAAGAAATGGACTCAAGCGGATTTTCCAGAGTCAGTTTGATTCAGTTGAAGACATGCAGATCCCATAACAACATCTTGTAATGGAAAGCAGCCAAAAAAAGAAAAATCATGCTTCTGGGTTGAACTGATTAGTTTTAAACCTGTTTTTGATTTGTGTGTTTGGATATGTTCCAAAGTCATATGAGTATGTCAGATTTATAAAGCTGCTCCTAATTCAGAGGTTGAGGATGTATGTGATCTTGATCAAGTAGAAAAAATAATCCAACAGTCTTAAGTACCAATAAGGAATGAAAGATAAAACTGCTCTGGAACAACCTGCTCTACGATTGCCTTTCCTAAGAGGACAAAAAAATGGGTCTTTTCACCCTCATGTTCGATAAGAGTCAATGGAATTCAAGGAGGGCCAGATTTGGATCTCTTGTGGGTACGAAGGGATTCCAGGCTACTGACGTGCTTCCCCTCCCTTCCTCGGGCTCAGCTTGATCGTCTCCTGCATCACTCTTCATGTGGAAGCTCCATTAAGCTGCTTGAGCAATCCTCTCCCCATTCTCAGTCTGACATTTGCAAGCCTGTCATCTGTAGATGCCTCTTGGGTCAGCTTGCACTGTTGTTTCTGCTTGGATGAAGACACTTTTTTCTCCACCACACAATGAAGGCCATTTCTTAACATCAGAGATTGCTTTCTTCAGCCTAGTTATGTTTTTCAGAACCTTAGGCAAATCATAATCTAAATTTGCCAGTGTGAGTTGAAGATCTCTTGCAAAGAATTGAGAGGGTTCCAAAAGGCTCCTTTGGAAGGCAGAAAACCTCCTGAGATGGCCAAGCGGTCAGAGGAGCTTTAGTAGGAAGGGTTCTTAGTGTATCAGAAAAGACAACCTCTGGGCAATTTACATTTGGGACAAGAGTTCATCCAAGTTCTTAATTAAAAAAAAAAGTGGCTCCAGGCCCATCTTTGAATTCCAAGGAGCAACCAGGGTTTGGAGCATCTGCCTGTAGAACAGAGGTCTCCTGGGATCAGGAGACCAGAGACTGGTATCGAACCTTCTGTCTCCCCACTTAACTTTCCAGGAAGCTGAGGACTATAGTGCTACAAACTATTGATCAATAAATTGGTCTTGTCACAATAGCCCTCACAAATATCTGGCCCATGTCAGTAACAAAACAAATTCTAGTTTGTAGTTTCACACATGCAGATTATGGGTACTTCATGACGCAAGTGACATTTTCTGGAAATGAACAGCTGAAAAGGATTTCAGAAAGCTTGAGAAAATGAGATTCTGCAAATAAAGTGCTTGAATATGAGTGTTTTCAAACACTGCATGTTATTCAAGTGTATTGAGTAATATTCTAATTGTGGAAATAGTTAAAGGGACTTTGGGCATGTTTAGAAATGCTACCAGAAGACAATAACAATGAAACAGACTTATTATATTGTAATGCCATATAGGCATTGCATATAGTGAAAGTCAGATAATGCTTAGATATTAAACATGAACCTGTGATCTTTCAAAAAGGAAAGCCAAAATGGTTTTTTGAAATATGGTTTTCTAGAATTTCTAAACTACCAATCCAAGAGCTATCCTGACCCTTCAAACAGAATTTAAACCACAGCCTTCCTACTGAAGTACAACTTTTTAGTAGGAACACCCAAAGATCTATTTTTCATCCATTAAAATTTCAATTTAACCACCATCTGGATTTGGTAACTGAAATCTGCTATATATTCTTTCTAAGAAAATGTTAGTGCAACTTTTGGGTTTCCAAGAAGCTGTGGGAGGTAGAGAACTATGTGGAACATGGGCAAACAAGGTTTTCTGATGGGTTTTGGTGACTGCAGTTGGAAAGAGCTCCTGCATTGGGACACCCCCAGTTGCTCAACTCTAAGCAGCAGAATTCCCATTGGATCACACCAACCCTTTGTAGTTTCCGCAAAGCCAGAAAATGTTTACGTTAATACTTGATCAATCTTCCTGTTTGACAAAATTGCTGCTTTAGGAATGATTCAGTTGCTTTGTTGTAAGATATAACCTTTCCACCTTTGTTTCATTGTTTATTAAAGTATTTTCATTTTCTTTCATTTAGAAAAAAAAAGAATGATGCTTGTTCAACTTTGGTTTCATTCCAAAGTTGAGGTTCTTTTTACAGATGCGGGCAGATGGCAGCTGAAGACACTACAGACACTGTTGGCTGAAGGGATTAATTTAACCTGGCTACAATATAATCAATTGCAATTGAGATGGAAAGAGGATCAAAAAACTGGTATTATGTTGCATGAGGAAGAATTGGTTAGACATATAAAAGAGAAAGGTCCAATGCATATTAAAAGGCTTTATGATGTTTTGTTAGAAAGGGATTCAGAAACCGAATTAGTTAAAGATTGTATGATTAAGTGGGCTCAAAATTTTGAAGAACCAGTGATGTTGGAAACATGGGAAAAAATCTGGGTTCAGAATGTTAAATTTACACAGTCGCAGAATTTGAGAGAAAACTTCTATAAAATGTTTTATAGATGGCACTTAGACCCCAAAAAGTTGTCATGTATGTACCCTAATGTTCAGCCAAAATGTTGGAGATGTGAATGCTTGGATGCTACATATTACCATGTTTGGTGGACCTGTAGGAAAGTTAAGGCTTTTTGGATAAAAATTTGGTGGGTCATGCAGAATGTTTTGAAGAAAAAAATTCAATTTTCTCCACAACTGTTCTTATTGGGTATAGTTAAGGGTTTTACATTGGGTGAAACAAAACTGATATTGTATATGATAACAGCAGCAAGATTGTTGATAGGTAAATATTGGAAAAATGAAGCTTTGCCCACTATTGAGGAATGGACTTTGAAGATGGCCAGTTTTGCAGAGATGGCGAAGATTTCAGCATACTTAAAAGACTGTTCACAAGAGACTTATGAATGGGAATGGAAAAAGTGGATAGAATATGTTCAGAACAAATATCAAACTAGGAAGTATCAAATAGCTTTTATTTGAAAATAATGTATTACAAATATTTTAATGTAATGAAGATAAAAAGAAAAATTATAAGGGGGAGGGTTCAAGTTTTATACAAGTTTTATACTAAGGTTTTTTTTTTACCTGATATGAGTATACTGTGTGGAAGTCTGGGGGGAGGGGAGGGTTAGGGAGGTCGGGATGTTTGGGGTGGGTGGTGGTGGGGGGAAAAATGGGGTGAAGATGTAACTGTAAAACTTTTGAAATAAAAAAAAATACTTGATCAATCTTCCTGTTTGACAAAATTGCTGCTTTAGGAATGATTCAGTTGCTTTGTTGTAAGATATAACCTTTCCACCTTTGTTTCATTGTTTATTAAAGTATTTTCATTTTCTTTCATTTAGAAAAAAAAAGAATGATGCTTGTTCAACTTTGGTTTCATTCCAAATTCCAGCAAGACATTGCAAAAGGCAAATAATTTTAGGAATGCTTTTTTATTGTAGTAATTATAGTAATGTTGAGGCCAAGCTAGCTGTACCTCAGGCAATCTGTCAAAGTAGGAAGACCAGTTCTGGAATTGGATCAGCCAGAAGCGCAACTTCTGGTGTTTGTTGGTGCCTTGTTAATGCTGGTGAGCAGCTGAAGAAGCAGAACAGCCATCTTTCCTTAGCGACTGGTGGCCATCAACCTTGAGCCGAGGTGGCGCAGCGGTTAGAGTGCAGTACTGCAGCTACTTCGGCTGACTGCTAGTTCAGCAGATCAGCAGATCAAATCTCACCGGCTCAAGGTTGACTCAGCCTTCCATCCTTCCGAGGTGCTGTAAGCCGCTCAGAGTCGTTGGAGAGTGGGCGGCATAGAAATATGATTAATAAAAATAAAAAATAAAAATAAATGATTTCATTGATGCAACAAGTTCTCATCCACTTCCATCATATCCACCGTAGCTCCAAACCTCCTCCCCTGCCATCTTTTGCCCAGGGGCAGCTGATGCGCTTTTCTCATCATTTTGGCTGCCTTCTTCCAGCTCCACAACCATCTGTCAAATCCGTGTATCTGCCATTCTTTGTGAAAGAAGGGGGGCGGGGATTGGGATTTGTCACATTTAGTTCTCTTTCCTATGTATCCTAATTATCCTATTTTTTGCCTGGTCCTCTTTGTATTAACTTTAATCTGATTTATAACTTGCCTGGCGCCAGAAATGCCTGGAGAATTCTCACCTCTTGGGAAATGAGAAGGGAGGGGGGACGTGTGGTTTGCAAGATAGTCCTGAGAATCTCTTCTTACCTGCTTCTCAGAGAGGCCGGTAAAATACCATCTTCATGCCTGTGGATTGATGGGAATCCACATCGGATGGTTGGGGTTTTTTTCCTAATTTCCTTTATCTTGGACTGCATGTCCTGAGGGACCTCAGAGCCTGCTTTGAATTTTGACTTGCTTTCATCCCGTTTCAGTAAAAGTTTTCAAGAGTTCGTACTTTCTTGGAAGGTGGGGAGAGGCTGGTCCTTACATAAAGCAGGCTCTGCAATAGTGGTCAACCCAGAGAGGAAATTCCCACCCCCCCAATTTCCACTCTACCAAGGGGACCCTACAATAATGTCCAAACGAAGCAGCAAGCAAGGGGAAGCTGAGTGCTGTGGAGAATTGGGTAGAATTGCTTGTGGCTGACCAAGCAGACAACCATGTTGGCAGAGCAGCAGCAGTGCCAGGTATCCAACTTCCTACTATCCCAGCCCAGGCAATCATCCTCGGCCAACCCAGGGGGCCAAAGCTAGAGAGGAAGGGCTTACCCTTGGGGGTAAGATTCAACAGAGACCCCCAAAAGTTTGGGTTTTTCCTGGGTCAAGTCCTCACCTACATGCAAGAGTACAGGCGGAATTTCCCAACCCAGGGGGCATGAGTGTGAGTCGTTACCCTAGCCCTAGAAGGGGCAGCTGGCAGGTGGATGGTGAGCCTCCACAACGCCGACACTCCAGAGCTACGAAACTTTGATCAATTCATGACAGCCCTGCGCCACCACTTCAAAGACCCCCTTGGTGGTCGCAAAGCCCGCGACCGCATTAGAGTCGTAAAGCAAGAACGCCGTCCTGTAGCTGAATACACCAAAGAATTATGTGACCTGGCCAGCTGAGTTGACTGGCCAGAAGATATCCTAGTCTGGTGGTTCAAAGATAGACTTGATGACCTGTACACTGCCTGCCTGGCCCATGGTGCCCCTAACTGCCTGCATGAATGGTACCTGATGGCAGAGGAGGCAGAGATCGACATGACCCCAAACCAGTACCGCATTGGCAGGGCTTGGAGAAGATCCCCACCCCAGGGGAAGCGAGAGCCATTCAAACCCCAAACCGCCATGGCACTGAGGCCATCAGGTTGCTTTAAGTGTGGGAAGGAGGGGCACCTCGCAGCAGAATGCCAGTTGAAAACCCCCACCAGAAAGCCTGATCGCTCATTGGGGGGAAGCCTACAAAAACCACCCCTGAAGGAAAAGAAACCACGCTGAGAAGCCAAGAGGTCATGGAGTTCCATTCCCCTCCAAAATCAGAGGAAGGAAGCCCCGAGAGGACCTGAGCCAGTCCGAAAGCGATCTGGAAGATGGCCTGCTGGTAAGCAACCCAATCGAACCGCTCACCCTACCCCTAAGACTTTTTATCCCCAGCCAAGGGAAGGGAGAAAGTAGCAGCATTGCTGGACTTGGGGTGCACCCAATACCTAATTAACCCAACCCTGGCAGGGAGATTGGGAGCCAGCCATTTTTGCCACAGAACCATTGCAAATGAAGCTGGGGTATCATAGCAAGATCCTCACATTCATAGTAGCCCCAAAGAATACCAGGATTTGGCTGAGGTATTTAACAAGGAGGTGTCTGATGAACTTCCACCCCATCGCACCACAGACTCTGCCATTGAGATCCTACCGGGGCTAAATTTCCAAAACTGAAAATGTACTGCATGTCCCCCAGAGAACTAGAGAAACGCAGAGTGTTTATTGACAAAAGCCTAAAAAGGGGTTTCATCGAACCCACCTGACGAAAAATAGCAGCCCCAGTGTTATTCCGCAAAAAGAAAGATGGCTCCTTATGCCTCTGCATCGACTACCGTAATCTGAACACGATCAGCATCGAAAATATGTACCCACTCCCCCTCATGAAGGACACGCTGGCCCATCTCTCTAAAGGAAAAATCTTTTCAAAACTTGATATACGACAGGCATACTACCGCATCAGAATTAGGAAAGGAGATGTGTGGAAGACTGCCTTTAACATCCCGCTGGGATGCTACCAATTTAAAGTACTCCCTTTCGGATTACAAGGGGCCCCTGCCATGTTTATGCAACTAATTAACGAGGTGCTCCATGAACATTTATACAAAGGGGTCCTGGTTTACCTTGATGACATCCTAATTTACACCGAAACAAAGGCAGAACACATGGAAATAGTCCGAGCAGTTCTCTCTAAACTCCAAACCGCCAAACTCTATGCAAAACTCTCTAAATGTGAGTTCCACCAAGAAATAATTGACTACTGGGATATATAATATCCCACGAGGGAATAGAGATGGATCCACAAAAAATAAAAGCCGTCATCGATTGGGAACCACCCCAACCTGTAAACAACTGCAAAGTTTCTATGGTTTTGCTAACTTTTACCGTCAATTCATTCCAGCCTTTGCGAAAATCACCCTCTACATTATGAACTTGCTAAAGATGAATGGGGGGGAGGAACCAAAACCAAGGCAACCCCTTAACTGG